TGGTGGAAAGCTGGAAAATCAAAGGGGAATGCATGTGACTGATTTATGAAGGGAATGCAAGTGACTTGGCTGAAAATGAAAGGGAATGCACGGCATGGGATGTTTGGTGCTGGAAATGAATGTGAAAGCATGTGCAATGACAGCTAGATATGTTGTGAAAAGCTGGAATTGCACAAGGGAAATGTATGTGCACGGTTTTGGTGTGGAGAAAGGGGTGAATGATTATGGGATGCTGGAAATCTGGAAAGGCACGGCAATGATGCTTGTTGTTTGTGAAAATGTGGCTGAATGGTTTAATTAATGAAAGAATAAAGGGGTGCATGTTTGAATGATTAAAGGGACATGTGGGGTGGAAATGCATATGACTTGTTTGTGGTGAGTGAATGTGCACGGCAAGGATGATTTCTGGGTGCATGTGGGTTGGAAATGATGAAGGAAATGCATGTGAGTGACAGCTAGATATGTTGATGAATGCATGTGTAATGAATGATTTCTTGGTGAGAGGATGCACGACACAAGGGATAGAATTGGTGTGTGGTGTTGCTTATGGCTGAATGAATGGATGGAATGGTGTGATTGAATGATTAAAGTGCATGTGGGTGGAAATGCATGTGGAATGGCTGATTGTTTATGATGATGTGCACAGCAAGGTTGGAGAAAAGGGGTGAATGGCTGCATGTGTTGAATTGGTGGTGAATGTGAACTCTTTGTTCTTCATTTTCATTTCTTCATCTCTTTATTTATTCCTAGCCTCCTTTGGTCTTCAATTTCGTCCATCTACTTGGCTTTAAGCATATGATATTCATTCCAATCTCTAATTTGCTCCAAAAGGCTCCAAAATGCATCCTTTTGCATACTTTGCCCTTAGAACCTGAAAACACACAAAAGAAGCATAAAGGACTAAAATAACTAAAGAAACATAACGTAAATGCACGAGAACAAGCCATTTAAGTCGCATGAATATGCTCCTATCATGCAGCTAAACATTCAATAAAACATCACTTTAGAATTTGAAATTTATCAATATCATAAAAAAGTGTAAGAATAATGATCAAGTGAGACAATATTTCAGTTGTCAAAAACTTCGTTCACCTTCAACATCTCAAACAAAATTGACTTGTTTCTTTGCCAAAAAAGAAATAGGGATATGCTCAAAGAATCATTAAGAACTACAGATAAAACTTGACAAGACAAAAAATATTTCGTATGTCATAACCTTTTTTGGAAATTGATAAGAATAACATCTGTTACAAAAAAGTCTCCCAAGAAAAGTATTTAATCTAAACAACGTTTGAATTTAATGTAAAGCTGATTGTCGATGTTTAGTGAACTTGACCTCGTTGTTGGAGTAGACAAGAAGGTTATCAATAAGAAAATCACGAATCCGTCGAAATATGGGTGGAATAACCGGTCAGTTAGGTTCATGAACATCCCTAGAGCATTCGTCCACTTGTTAGCAAATGTAATCACCGAGAAATCTTCTAAGTGTCCACATGAATTTCCTCAGTGGAACAACAAACTCGAGGATATTGATTCGGTCCAACTAAACTAACACTTGCTAAACTTCACAAACAACTAGTGCTTCCTCACTTTCTCCACATGAACTTCAGATGTTTCGAGCAATCTCCATATAGATACGACTCTGCCCGCCATTCCTAAGGAACGCAAGTTGCAGCGTATCATCCTCATTTCAGATATTCAGCTGGTCTTAACCAAACTTCCTCTCACTGAGATTTTTCTATTTCCCATCACTTCAATGTAAATCCAACTTTGCTCGTCATTCCTTGGGAATGCATGTCGTAGATTATCGGTCCGTTTTTTAAAGTTGTGCATCAAACAATTACATCACCGATGAGGCACAATCCCTACACGAATTTTCATACTTCAGATAAGGATGTGGCAATTCAGACAGAAAGAAGATTACGCAACTGTGCCGAAAAGGTACCAATAAATGGAAGCCATGACATCCAAATGATATCAAAGCTGACAACTATTAGAGTAAGAGACAATCCTAAGTATTCTTTGAACAAACCATGCTTTGATACCAAATTGACACGCCCGACCCCAATATCCTCCAAACACCAGGGTAGACACATGCTGGCCGACACCCGAGGGTGACGAAGTCATATTAACATGCATGTAAGTTATGAAGAAAGAATGAGCGTAAATAAAACACGTAAATTTTATTAATAAAGAATATGCAAAAGTAGGAACATGTTCAGTGCATACAACTAATCAAGAATAGTGTAGAAGAAATATTATGAAAATGTACGAACAAAGGAATGGGTCCTACACCGAGAAGACTCGAAGATACCAATGCAGGAATATCTTGACACCAGGATTATACGCCTCAATTCTAAGTCCTGAAGGGGGAACAAAACAAAGCATGAGTGGACCAAGTTTATATATAAGTAATACTAAAACAATTACTCTTCAAACATACTAACCCCTAGTTTTAGAAAAACTCATATAGCTAATAAGTAATAGCTTTTCCAAAAACCCTAGCATGCCATAAAACCTTCGTAAAACATATATCGTGTATAACGTGTTAGTAGTGGTATCACAATTTCCTAAATGCGCTACATTGACATACCCCGACCGGAGTCAAGGCATGTTGACTGTCACCCGAAGGTGACGTAACCAAAAGTGTTAGTGATGTAAAAATGTCAATGAATTAAAACCGAAACTAGAACTTATGTAAACTAATAAAGTGAGTGCGTAGTAGTGGATAGAACCTATAGAATACAAATATTTATAGCATAGATGACATAGGTAGTGTAGTCGAATCTAGTTAAGTACTTAATACACAATAGGAACAGTTGCTACATTTAATTATAGATATGTCAGGACCGTAAGAGATTCCTCATATGCCACAGAGAGTTCAACTATCTAAGACCTGGAGGGGCGAAAAACAGAAGGGTGAGTGGGCAAAAACAAAGGTTTATAAAACACATTTATTTTCTGAACATACTAACCCCTCGCTATAAAATATGTATAGTTTCCAAAAAATTATACTACGTATAAGTATGAAATCAAATGCAAATCAACAATAATTCCATAAATATGGCAATCACAATATCTCAACAGTAGCATAATAAAATCAAATGCTCATCAATCTATACTAGCACACAATTCGAAGTCACCTAATGCAACCTATACAACTAAACTGATGCTCATCAATTTATGATAGCACACAAGTCAGAGTTGCCTAATGCAACTTGTACGATAGGACTGGATGTAATCATAATATAAGCTCTAATGCTACAATCACGTGAAGACTGGCACTATTTGCGATCATATATGAGTCGGAGTTACCTATTGCAACCTGTACGATATGACTGGCACCTACTTGGATCCAAGGTAAACGTGTAGTGCGGATGTGAACATACATGTGAAAGACTGGCCCTGGCCCTGGCCCTGGGCGAGCACTAACACTGGGTGCAGCAATGATGAGCAGACTACATAAATATAACCACGCCATAACGATTCAATAATTCTAGTTAACATAACAAACTTGCGCATCCCGTAATATTATTTTAGCATTTCACAACAGTACAATATTTCTTATAACATTATTTAATCATGGCATAATAGGCATGAATCAATTCAAAAGCATTTGTGGAAACTATAAAACTTTATATATCATATATATAAAAACAAATGCCCATTCACTGATACGTGGTCGGATCATAGCCTCCTAGCCTCACTTGTCCTCGTACCTCCTCGGGGTAATTTTCACCTATATGTAAAATAACTAAACTAATTAATTTAATAGAACATATACTAAAAACTAGGTAAATTTCCCCACAACTTGCTCAAACAGAAGGTTTAAATATACAAAAATGTTCTACTCGACGTCACAGTCCTGTACACGTCAAGCACACGCCAGTCGGTGGCCGGACGCGCCGTCACACATCGCTAAGACACGGGCACACACGCAGACACGCACTGACAGAAGCTAACAGATTCTAGGGAATATTCCGTTAGATACTAACGAAATATTCCATTAAGTTTAACGACGTTACCTAATGGCGTTAAAATATTCCGTTAACGTTAACGAAATATTCCCCTTCTTTTCCGGTGACTTCCGCCGTCCGCCAGCACCCGCCGCCGTCTGGTTTTGCCAAAAACTAGAAAAAGTCGCCCGTTTCTGGAAATCTTTTTCAAAACTTCAAAACTTGCTCATTTCTCAACCATTTTCAACGCACTTGATATGGAATTGAATATCTTGAGGAGTAGAACAAGATTGAACCTTTCAAAAGTCCAAAATGGGGGAGAAAGTGGCCTAAAAAAGCCTCGAAAGGTTCAGACTTATTTTCTTCGCCTCAAAACTGTGTTTCCACGTCAACTCAACTTCAAACTCAGTCTATTGACTCGAGGGAGTTATGTGGAGGCTTCCAAACGTCCCAAAAGCTTGTAACTCGATCGGGAACACTTCAGGGAAAACTCGTCCAAGTCTGAACTTCCGAGTTGGGTGTTCAAAACTCAACCATTTCATGATCGTTTTGTACGGTTGGGTTTGTGAGGATGAGAGAAGTGTGATTGTGGAAATTTTAGGCTCGATCCGAAAGTTTTGATGATGGTGTGTGTGTTACAAAGGGGATAGAGTCATGGGTGAAGGAGAAAGAGAAAGGGAAGGTGAGAGTAGGGCTGGGCAAACGGGCCCAGGACCCGCGGTTAGGGCCGGGTCCAAGTGAATCGGGGCGGGTACGGGGCGGGTCCTATTTTTAAAAATCTGAAACGGGGTGGGGCGGGGCGGATCCATGTTATTTGCGGGGCGGGACGGGTCGTACTTGCTGAGGAAACGGGTCCCCGACCCGGACCGTTTCCACCTTCCAAACATTTAAGATTTAATCTGATCCGTTGATTAAAATCACGATCATACGATCGCACTCAAGTCTCTCAGATCAGACTCTCAGACAGTCAGATCAGACTCCCACAGTCGACACTCGAGCTCGACAGTTCCCTTCCCCACCCACTCCCCAAATCGCCTTTCCTCTCTAGTCTCTACTCTCTCGTCTCAGAGTCAGACCTCGATCGCTCCCATCTTTTTCCATCGATTCTCCACCCCTACTGACTCGACTCGACTCGACTCCTTGAGACTCGTAGTGAGTCAGTGACTGTCGACCTCGACTGTGTCTGTCGACATTACATCAATCCTCCCCAATCGCGAGTTCCGACCACCACCACACGGTCGACACCAACCTCGCCGTCGAGAAGACTACCATCATCCTGCAAATTCCTAGGTAATTTATGAATTAGGGTTTCTGATTTGGGAATTTAGGGTTTTTGGGGCTATGATTGCATAAGCTTTTCGATTGATTATATGAACTGCTGCGATTTGATTACTAGCAGAAACTTGTTTATTGGTTTTGAATTTTATGGATCTGCTTACAGATTGTAGATTTTAAGTTGTTTGGTTAAATTTGCAGAAATTTAAGTTGTTTGTTTGTAGATTTTAAGTTGTTTGGTTAAATACTTTGGTATTTAAATTTGCAGAAAATTTTCGAATTGTTACAATTTTTGAACTAAAATTGGTAATTGAAGCTGCAATCTTAATGCATGCAAGCTGCAATCTTAATGCATGTAAGCTAAAATTGATAATAGCTTCTTCTGGGTTTAAACTTTAAAGAGGTTGTTTTAGACATTTAATTTATGGGTTTTGTTGCTTTGTTTGTTAAGCATGAAGCTCAGAAGCTCTATTCCCAGAGTCTCTCTTTTAAGTTTTTCCTATTTCAATTTTTTTCTGTAGATCTGTTCGAATCTAGGGTTCATACTTCATATATCTATGGCTATGGGTTTCATTAAAATATTGGTTTTGGTTCTGTAATTTACTATAAAGAATATGATTTGGTTCATTAATATAGTTAGGTGCGAATCACATTTGGTTTTCTCATATATAAAGAATATGATTGTCACTTGTCAGGCTCTATACGTTGTTGAAGAAGATTCTGAGTTCGATATTTTGTTGTGCATGTACGGTCCGAAACCAACAAGATTTTCAGTTTTGTGAAGGTCAGCTTTCTTGTGCATGTACATTTACTAACTGACTAATTATTTACTCTTAAATGTTATGCTAAGCAAGCATGCATTAGTTTCCTAAGCACCTTTGACTAGATCTCTATCTATTTTATACATTATTTTTTAAAACCTTGGTAACTACATTTGAAACATGATAATCTTATCTGACCACTTAGCTTAAAACACACATAAGAATGAGAACCGAGGCCTTCTGCCTGCATATATATATATATATATAATATAATACATATACATATACATCTCACACACACACACACACAATAAGTACTTGGCCAATATTGCAGAAAACAATTTCTTTAGCAGCTGCATGTTACTGCCCTGCAGGCCCTGCACACGATTTGAATTTTGAAATTTGAATTCTGATTGCATTTACTTGCATTGCTGCATTTCCAAGAATATTATATGCATTTTCTTCATTGTTTGGGAATTGGTTTCAGATTCCGGAGCCACTTATTACTGAGAAAGTTTGGAAATTGGAAGATTTTGAATCATATCCTGCTTGCTTACTGGTGAGTTCTTGGTTTGGAACTTTGGATGGTTATTTTTTGTTTTGGATGGTTATTTTTTGTTTGGATGGTTATTTTTTGTTTGTTTACATATACATCTCACACACACATTACTGCTGCATGTTACTGCTGCATGTTATTTTTATTGGATGGTTACATATACATCTCACACACACATTACTGCTGCATGTTACTGCTGCATTGGATGGTTATTTTTTATTTCTTGGTTTGGTGAGTTCTTGCTTACTGCTGCATGTTACTGCCCTGCACACGATTTGAATTTTGAAGTACATGAGAAAAACTGCAAGTGCATGCATGCTGCTGCATGTACTTTAAATTATGTATAATGTGTAGATTATGCTTACATGGAGATTATGCTATTTTATTTGATTAATGAATATAGTTCCATATCTACAAGTTCAACAATCTCATCAAGTGTTCCTGAAATTGAAACAACTCAAACGAATAAAGGAAAAGGAATTGCGGTAATATTTTAAACTCAAATGAATAAACTTAAATTTCAATAATTCAATTTGAATGAGGATAGATAATATGATGTTGGACGTTAAAAATGTCATGTTTATATTCTATTTTTGTTTACAGATTCAATGAAGATTGTTGTTGGAACTTGGGCGTTGGAACTTGGATTTTCGGATATTTTGTATGTTGATTTAATTTTTAGATGTTGGAAGATGTAATATTATTATTTTGAATGTATTGTTAATCTATAAACTTGGATGTTGGACTTTGTATTTAGATTGGATGTGAATAATGGTGAATTTGTGCAAAATATGCGTAAATGCAGTATGTGACTTTCTGCAGTTGCAATCTGTGCAAATCTGTGCAGTTTGCAATCTGTGCAGTTTTGTGCAGATTGCAATCTGTGCAAATCTGTGCAGATTGCAATCTGTGCAGTTTGCAATCTGTGCAAATCTGTGCAGTTTGCAATATGTGCAAATCTGTGCAGTTTGCAATTTGTGCAGTTTTGTGCAGATTGCAAACTGTGCAGTTTGCAATCTGTGAATATGTAGTTATGTACAATTTTTTTTTCTTTCAAACAACCAAAAAAAAAAAAAAAAAAAAAAAAAGGACCCGTGGACCCGGCCCGTTTCAACCGGGCCGGGTAATGTACGGTTCTTATATTAAAAAATCTAATCCCCGGCCCGGCCCGGCCCGTTCCCTTTGAACTTAGGTCCGGTCCGGTCCCTTCAAAATTGGGCCCGGCCCGGCCCGTGCCCAGCCCTAGGTGAGAGAAAGAGATGGAGACAGCTTTCAAATTGGGCAGAGATGAGAAAGAGTGATCTGATTGGTGGAAAAGAAAGAAAATCTGATTGGGTGAGGGAATTGAGAAAACGAACTAATTGGTGAGGGAAATAGGTACACAGGTCGATTTTAAAGAAGAAAAACGATAAGGTTTTCAGATTTTGTACAGTAAGTCGTACACAAAATTCGTCACCTTATCAAAAAGTGTTTCCAACACTGATAAATTAACACACATGTGTACCAAATTTTCCCGTTGTTAACATACTTTAACCGTGTGTAACTTTTTCGTTACAGCTTCAATTCAGGTCTAACTCGCGCTCACGCATTCGTAGCAACGAGTACTATTTAATTACGATAACGAGAAAAATCATTTAAGGGTCGAATAACTACGTCCATATCACTTTGCCCACAAGGGCATAAATGTCAATTTACACACTCGGGGAGAAAATTACATGGGAAATTAGGGACGGGTCGTCACAAAATCGCTCAGCTGAAGGCATATATATTTCTTCCACCCGAAGGCACTACATCGCCTAACCAAAGGCATTTATATCTTCCGCCCAAATGCATTACATCGCCCGCCCGAAGGCCCACACACACACACATACGTATGTATCCACAAAGTAAGCACATAAAATCCTGAACATAAGCTTTCCAAAATATATCTCATCGGAGCTCAATAGCTCAAACATCATATCATAAATACATGGGCGTGTTCTAGCTCAAAACATCATCATAAACCATGTTCATAAGTATGTATTCATAAATATTTCAAAGAATTTAAATTCAATAAAGCATGATATTTCATAAAGCGTAAATCCAATAACTCATAAACGTTTCATAAAACGTAGTCATAAAATCATGCTTTTCATGTATGCATTTCTAGTAATAAAAATCATGCATTTTAGAAGGGGTCCATTCATAGATATTTCGTCGCCGAAGATCCGTTCGAACAAGGGAGGACGGAATCGCCACTAATAAACGCACCTAAGCACATAAAGGGACCCTACTAAAATGATTGAATTTGGGAAAACGAAGCACGGATTTGGAATCAGGGCATCGAAATACCCTAAGAGGGGTCCCGGACGAATTTCGTAAAAGTCAACGAAAAGCCAACAAGAGTATTCCTAAGAATATTCCCTAACGGATTATTCCATCGGGTCCACGTCGAGTCAAATCTGGGTCAGATTCATGTTTTGGATCGGATTTTGGGTTGCGGATTAAGTCGACCCGGTTTCAGGCCATGGGTTGGCCAGTTTTCTCGAATAAGAAAGCCGAAGCTTTCCAAGCCCCGTTCATCCCCAAATCTTAACTAAAACTAGTCATTCATTATACCAAATTGAAGCTGAAGGAACAAGGAAGAATATTGGTCAGAGTTGATTGGAAAACGGCTTGCAAGGTGACGGTTCTCATCGGATTTTGGGGAAAGTTTCCCCCGAGCTGTTTTTGCATCCAACATGCGTACACAACTTAAAACTTACCTTATTCTAACCTTAAACACAACCCAAATGGTTCTAGGGACTTAACTACGTCGGGGGTGGCGAGAACTTGCCTTGAGTTTGTCGGGGAAGACCAAAACAGTGAACTCCGCCACTGCCGGAGCTCCACAACCTTGGTGTGGGGTCGAGACGATGAGGTTCAGATGGTGGTGGTGTTATCGTCGTCGTTGTTGTTGTTTGTGTGTTATGTGTGTGTAAGGTACCCTCGGGGAAGGTTGGGTTCCAAGATAGCAGATAGAGAGAAGAGAGAGGAGAAAAACAAAGAGAGAGAACTAAGAGGTTTGGGGAGACAAGACGTAGGAAAAGAGGGAAGAAAGAGAAAGGACCAGGAGACCAAATAAAAGGGGTGGGCCTCATTGGCACACCAAACAAGCCATAAAAGACAAACATGCAAAATATCTCCCACATGTGAAATTGTAAAATTGCCCTCGACGTCTTGTGTTTCATAGAATCATGAACGGGTCGTTACATCAAGTGTCCAAGAACATTCATTATTGCAACTGAGGTTTCGAATTTGACTTCCTATTTTCTATATCGATTGTATACAAAAAAAATTAAAACATAAAATGTTTCTTTTGGGACCGATAATCTAAAAAATTAGCACTCTTAAACTATGAAATATGTGCTCATACCGAAAAAATAATGATTATAAAGTATGTGTCACGATTTATTTCAAGTGAGTAATAGATATATATTACGAAAGAAGGATTCTCCTACTAGGAATTATGTCCTACTCTTTGCCTCCTTTCACAGATAATGGAGAGATGAATTGATCAATTCATTGGATTCTAGGTCGAGACTGACAGGGCTCGAACTTGCAGCTTCCGCCTTGACAAGGCGGTGCTCTAACCGATTGAACTACAATCCCAAGAAAATTAGGTATACAACCTAAAAATTCTTTTTTTTTTTTTCTCATTGGATTTCATTCGAACATTTTTGTTTCGCCGTGTTGTAACAAGCATCAGTATTATGTTGGTTATCAGTAAAAATAACTACACGTTTGGATTTTCTTGAACGAATCTGATGATCCTCAACTAGAGTTTCTCCTTTCCCCCTCCTCTTGTTCAAAATCGCTGATTAATTTGTATGACATCGAGGAACGTTTTTTTACTAATTTCTTTTATTCCAATATATATATATATATATATATATATATTTTAATCATTTTATCGTTGGGAACAATTCTAATTGCATCAAATATTAATTTTAAAATTTTGATTCGATACTTGGACCAAAAAAGAAAGCTTTTCTTTATAGCAGATGGTGCTTTAGCCCATGACATAGAGCAGTCATGTCTATGCACTATAGTGCAGGTTTAATCTCTATCTATTTCTTTTTCCCCTAACAAGTAACTATTTGACTTAGTAACGTTACCGCTCTACTTAAAAAAAAAAAAACTATTTTCCTTTGTAACTATTTATCTATGCGTCAATGAAATACCGTTTTGCTTTTTGGTTCTCATGAATTTATTTCATTCACTAATACTTTCAGCCAAATATCATTTACCTGCTGCACTTCAATGAGATAAAGAAACAGTCATCAATTCTTGGCAACTTTTTGCTCAAACAGGACTTCTAAATTACAAGAATATATCATACAAACTAGTCTTCTTTACATGATAAATCACATACAGAAGATATTCATGTCACCTGGTTTTTCACAGCCACTCTTCATGACATTTAGTTTCCAAGGAAACGAGGAATCACACACAGCTTCAGAAATCACAGTTGGACCTTTGTGACCAAGAAAATAAGCCATTCCCAGGTTTTACTCAGACGATATATCCACTGGATTTTGTGAGATCAGCCTATTGATGTTGTCAAACCTCGTATCCTGGGTTCACTTTCTGTTGCACATCCCCGTAACTCTCTAACTCTTCCATGTCCTCCAAACTCCCCAGGAACAGAGGCAGCCTTTGGTGCAGCTTGACTGGCTGAATCGATAGAATTCTACTTTTACCATCAGAACCTTTGCCCCCGGCTTGCTCCACCAGAAAACTAAGAGGGTTGGCTTCGTAAACCAGACGAAGGTGGTCCCTTGGATTCATTGTCACTCCACCATACAGTAGAGTTCGATGAAAATCTGCTACCAGAGAACAGATATAACGCGCAGAGTACTTCTTGGGGTATCTGCCTTTCCCTTGTCTCACAGTGTCTATGTATTGCCTTAATCCATTGGGCCAGTCAAAATATCGAGCATCATTTACAGAATATATTTGCCCTGGAAAATGAAGAACCAGCGTAAGCACACCTAAATGCTTCTATCCAGCATTTTTCAGTATAATCGAGCATTATTTACAGAATATATTTTCCCGGAAAAGAAGAGAGCCAGTGTAAGCGCAATCTAAATGCTTCTATCTAGCAGTTTTCAGTATCATCAATCACCATTTTACAGAATATGTTTTCCTGGAAAAATAAAGACCCAGCGTAAGCGCAATTCAATGCTTCTACTAGTATTTTTCAGAAGACTTATATAGCAGTCAATAACCATTAAGTGCAATTTCTTTTCAAGGTATAACAGTCATTGTACAGGTTAGATCATTTTGTGATGGTTTCTAAATAATCTGTTGTTTTTTCTTTCTGTAAAAATGTAAATAAATTGTCAAATGAAATCTCATATATTGAAGCATATTAGTTTGGAATTTACCTCGAGGAGGAATTTTTAAGCTTGGGTGTGTGAGAATGAAATCTCCTGTTGAATGATCCAGCGTGAATGCATGTGTTCCTGAACCAAAGCTGGTGCAGAATATTGTGGCAGATGAATAAAGAACATAGCCGGCAGCAACAAGATTAGTTCCCTTCTGGAGTGAATTCAGCAAAGCCTTCTCCTCCTTTGGTAGATGATCCAGCTCCGGAAGGCGTTTATAAATCCCAAAAATGGTTCCAGTGGGAATGGACGCATCAATATTTCGAGAACCATCTAGAGGATCCGTTACCACCACAAATGGGCCATCATCGGTTATCCAAATTGGAGTATCATCTTCTTCTGAAGCCATGACAGCTACTTTTCCAGAATTTTTAAGAGAGGACAAGATGATTTCATTCTGCAAATAAGAAACTTTGGTTAATCAGAAATGTTTCTTCGATTTCACCATTACTAGATTGCTCCTGACAATAAGGCAAGCTGGTGTGAGAACTTACAGAGCAACAAAAGATCAGTGCTATATCACCAGAACATTAGATTTTTCATTTGGTAACAACACTGTATACCAAAGATGGAAAGCTCAAATCCCTTGGAACCTTAGTGAAGAAAGGATTTGATCCTACACCTCTTGTACAAAACAAGAAAATTTACCAGCTGAAGAAGTTAGTGTCCTTAAGCATTTCGTTTAATCACTATTCTAAACAAATAATCTTAAATGACCATGCCGTAGGTGAGTCATTTCAATAGATATGTCAGATTTTCTGACCCATATTTGGTACGTACAGCTTGTACCATCATCATGACATTAGAAGAATAGATTGAATAGGCATTTCACTAGATAATCATCGACAATACCTACCACTTCACTTCTGACCAAAAGTTGTGTTATACTGGGGCAGTCAGGTTCTACCCACTCAATGCGGATTTGATGTGGCTTAGAAGAACAATATAGGTATACATATATGTACAGGATGGGATGTGAGCATAAATTATGGAAATTTGCAAACCAAACACGAGCCCTTTGGCTCCGGTTTTGACCCGATTCTTTGATTTCAAAACTTACACCCCATCAAGCCAACCAAATGGCATTCTGTTTCCTTTCAAACAAAATGAATAGGCACCCTCAATTTCGTCCATATCTCGTCAGGTTCCATACAGATTTGAGGACATTTCACCAAAATAGGGAGTTATTTTCTGCTAAAAATTTAACCCTTAATCACTGAAATTAGAGCTTTAAACAAATCAGTCCTACACAGCGTCGTCCAATGACTCAATTAAAATAAAATCAACAAAAAGCATTGGTTTATACACATGAGTATGCATGATTGCAGAGAGAATACAAACTTCCTGAAGACAATTATATCTTGGGGTTAAACTTACCGAAACGATATCGAGAGGCTTCGGTGCATCCCGGCCTGACCCAGCAGCCGAAGCGCCGCCGCCAGAGAGACCCTTGTGCTTCCCAAGGCTGGAATTGAAAGGAGAAGCTACAAGAGCTGCGATTCTCTTGCAGGCGTACTGTAATTGGTGGAACAGAAGCACCAGATCATCTCCTACAGTGGCACCTCCCTCGCCGGCCGCATACTCAATCAGGGTGCGCACCTCATCATCGGCAACACTGCCACTAGTACCGGAAGAAGCCACCAGTCGGGACCCAATACTGAAACCGAACCCAGAAAGATTTGCCATTGTTGGTCTGTGGTTGTGGAGGATGGTTTTTGTAGTAAACAGATTTCTGGGCGGGAAATGAGGGCGATTTGGTGGGAAAATTGGAGCAGGGCAGGAGGTGGACGGTGGTGTTATGGTTATGATTGTGGTGGGTAATGGCATGATAATATATATTGAGTTTGGGTTTGGGGGCTTTGAGCCTTTGATTAGAGTGGTGCCATTTTTGGACTTGATTTGAGTTTTCAAGGAAAGGGGATAAGGGATTTGCTGTATATCATTCAAGAAATAATACAGAACCCGGTTCAATGGGGTCGTCCACAATATTCACCTCTTAGAGCAACTCCACCTAATGAGCAGTAACTGCCTTAATGAACAGTAAATAGCCCTGGCAATAGAATTTGCATCTCCACCGTTACACTTCAATAGCCTTGCCAATAGATAATAAAATATTAGTATTTTTTTTATTTATAAAATAATACAAAATAATTTAAATTGTAATATCGGATAAGATTTTTAATCGGTCTCGTTACGCTACGTGTCATTATCCGAAGTATTATTAAATAATACAAAATAATTTTATTTGTAATTTTGGATAAGATTTTTAATCGTTGTCGTTACGCCAATTGTCATAAAATCCGAAAAGACAATTATTGGGGATGGATTTCCGATAAATTTTTTAATCGTACTCGTTATGCCACGTGTCATTATCTGAAAATACAATTATTGGTGATGGATTTCTGATAAGTTATTAACCAATCACGTCGCGCCACGTGTCATAATCTGTTCACAATCTTTGAGGATAGATTTCCATTAGATTTTTAACGAATGACGGCATGCCACGTGTCATAATCTGTTCACAATCTTTAAGGATAGATTTCCATCAGATTTGTAACGAATGACAGCATGCCACGTGGCATTATGTACAACCTAATCCTTTTTGAATCCTCTATATAATCCACCATCCATCCTCACAAATCTCACACCAATTTTCTCAAGATCTCTATCATTATTCATAGTTTCTGCTTCCTTATTCACAAAAATCTGTATCATTATTCATAGTTTCTGTTTCTTTCTTACAATGTCTTCTTCTTCTTCCTCAAGGATGATGTGGGAATTCAATCAGGAAGAGGAAGAATTGTTTAACGAATCAGAAGCAATGTTCAATCACCAGGGGGTAAGAAATGAGAGAGAAGAGGATGAGGAGCGTCAAATGAGAGATGACGAAGTAAGAATGGGCAGAGCCTCACATTCCCGTCGAGTCATCCAAGCTGCGGCTCAGATCTGCAGGCCCAACCGTTCCAGAAACCTTGATAGAAGCAGGCAACGACGAGGTATAGAACTCTTGGATGATTATTTTGTTCCTAATAGTGCATTCCCTGATACGTACTTTAGACATCGTTTTAGAATGGAACGACATTTGTTCAACAAAATCATGATTGCTGTTTGCAACCATGATTCTTATTTTGTGCAAAAGAAAGATACTTTTGGTGCTATGGGTCTACTGCCTGAGCAAAAAATTACTGCTGCCTTGCGGATGCTTGCATATGAAGCATCTGCAGACCAAGTGGATGAGATAACGAGGATGGGGAAATCAACCATTCTTGAGTCCCTGATGAGGTTTTGCGAAGCAATCGAATCTATCTACACCGTTGAAATTAGATAAATAATACAAATAATAAATAATAAATAACAAATAAATAATACAAACAATAAATAATAAATTTTGTACGTAACAAATAAATAATACAAACAATAAATTATAAATTATGTAAGTAACAAATAAATAATACAAACAAATAATTATAATGTAAATTTGGGTATCAAATAAATAATATATTGTTACCTGATCTGAGTAATTTTCCCTACTTCGAATATTACTACTAGCTTGTGCCAAGGCGTCTCTCCACGTACTAAACGATTGGCTAAGTAATTTCCAACGACTGGACATCGATTCTTTGGTTCTTTTCCCACCAATTTTCTCAAGAAAATTGGCATGAATAAGACTCCACATCTCTCGCAACTGCATCTCATTACCCGTAAGCGAACTATGAGTAACTTCAACCCAGCTAGTACACAACGCAACATCTTCAATAAGCGACCAATTCGTACCTGCACCAGTGGTCATTTTGTTGAAAAAAAATGGATTCAAACTTTGAGACAAAGAAAGGAATGTGATTGAAAGTAGTTGAGAAAATATGAAATTGTTGTGTAAGGTAGATGATAATGAGAAGGTATTTATAGAAAAGCAAAAACAATTTTTTTTACAATTTTTTTCAGATTTTTCAGATTTTTTTTTTGAATTTTTTTGAATTTTTTTTAAATTTTTATTCAATTAATTAATCTCTGCCGTTGGATATAAAAAAATTTGAATTCCAACACTCCAGATTGTGCCACATGTCACAACAGTAACTTTTCTTAATTTTAAAACTATTTTTTCTTTTATTTTTTTATTTATAAAGAATATTAATATCCACCGTTGATCTCAGATCGAACGGTGGATATTAAATCTGACTTTTTTTTTTTTTTACTGTTGAGATCAAACGGTCCAAATTAAGTAACCGTTGAGATCTAACGGACCGTGGGAAGCCACGTGGCTTCCCAACGGTAACTGACATACTTTTTGTTTTCTGATTTTGTGTCGGCGACGCGCCCCCACGCACGAGTGGGGTGCACGCGCCTGACACAAAAAAAATTAAATATTGCGCTAACGCCAGGTTGGCGTCAGCGATGACGTCACATAGCCTCGAGCTCTCGGGCTGGCAATCCCCCACGGACCCGGAGCTCGGGCCTCCACCTTCAGTCGGGCTAACCCACGCTGGAGCTGATCCCCTGGCCCTCGGGCCCTTGTTCTGTCCACCTTTCCCCGAGCAAAAAGCCACGCTGGGCTTGCTCTTACGGTGCTGCCAGTTGTTTTTCTGAATTTTGATTTTAGCTGATTACTCTCAACTTTTATCGTTACTAATTTTCTCTCTAAACTTTAACCTTAGCCGGCCACTCTTCTAAAATTTTATACATTGTCAATTCTCTATCAGCGTTAGATAATAAATATCAAATTTTCCATTTTTAATATCTCATACAGTTGTTATGTGTCGTATCCAAATAAATAGAAAATTGTATGAAGATTTTAAACTCTAGCTTTAGGGGGAAAATAGACTATTTATAAAAGTTCAGAGAAGTAATCGGTTAAAATTCAAATTCAAGAAAAAAATTGGCTAATTATAAAGTTCTGGGATCATCAGCTAAAACTAAAGTATTTTGCTCTGTACGGGTTGTAAATCGATAAATATGCATACTGAAAATAATACTTGCGGACCTCGTCATCGGCAGCAGTGCCACTAGTACTGGAAGAAGCCACCAGTCGTGACCCAATACTGAAACCGAACCCAGAAAGATTTGCCATTGTTGGTCTGTGGTTGTGGAGGACGGTTTTTGTAGTAAACAGATTTCTTGGCGGGAAATGAGGGCGATTTGGTGTGAAAAATGGAGGAGGGCAGAAGGTGGACGGTGGTGTTATGGTTATGGTTGCGGTGGCTAATGGCATGATAATACGCATATAAGATATTGAGTTTGGGTTTGGGGGCTTTGATTACAGTGGTGCCATTTTTGGACTTGATTGAGTTTTCAAGGAAAAGAGGAAAAATGGGATGGGATGGAGGACAAGGGATTTGCTGTATATCATAGAAAATAGGCAGCAAGGGAAGGAGTCTCTTCCCCTCGTAGTCTCTCTTTTGTTTCTTTATTACGATTGAGTCACGTCAATATTTTGTTTTAATTCTTTTGTATAGAAAAAAAAATGCGAAAGGAAGGGAGGAAAGGAGATGGTAAAAAAAGGGAGAGAATTTTTGAGAGAATCCTACTCTGCAAAGAAAATACAAAACCCAGTTAAACAAGGTTGTCTAGAATTCTATTCTAGTACAATTCTAACCTTGTGTAATTTTTTTTAACAAACGATATTATCTACATTAAGGGGGCGGGGTGGGCTCAGCATCACAATGTGCTTACAACAATGTGGTTCAAATTTGCCTTTGCCAAAAATCGAACATAAGACGTTTCACTTACAAGTGAAGAGGAATATTACTAGACCATAATACTAAGTGATAACCTTATGCAATTTCAAAGTACCGAAAATAATCCTTGACGCAGTATAAGGACAAATTAGTCCTCGCCACAAAGGAATCCTACAAAAATAAGGACATCTTTAGAGAATCACTTATATCGACTGTATTGGAGAATCACTTATATCAACTGTATTTTTGTACAAAATAAGGGTATGCACTTGATGTTAATGGTTTATTTCTTGAATGAAATTAGTTCTATCGATTTTTTTTAATGGTTGCCTTTTAAAATTACACAGCCTACACGATGCACATGCTATAGTAATTAGAAGCTAACTACATCTTTCAGTGGCTTGATTTATGATGCGGGTATGCTAGTTCACTACCGAGTTCAATCAGGCAAATATCTCTGAATGTGGTGTGGTGATACACACTACTGACTCTCGAATCCATCAATTTCAGCTTAGGAAGGAACACTCTCGATCGTTGGTACTATAGCCAAGGTTATGCCTATTTACTGTAAGTTCAATAATGGTTCACCTGCCTTTGATCCAAACACTGAATGTTAACTTGGGTCACTTCACCGAGAAAGCTAATGAAGTAGCTTCGTTTGGCAAAAAAATTCGAAGACTCTTTCCGGCAGCGACTTGAGATAAGTAATCAATCAAACTTGAAAGACTTCCCGTCTAACCAGGCAGCCAAGACTCCTAAGCCCGAACTAATTCTACAACTTCGGTGCCATCTAACCAAGCAGTCGCCTTTACTGGTTGCTTCTGAAAAATCCCATCTACTCAGACAGTTGTTGTCCGCCGACTGCCGACCCAAACCTATCTAACGAGAATGAATTTGTGCTGGCGTTTAGTAAGCAGTTTCTGCTCAAGGAATCATACAACAACTACCAAGATTTCTTGCGGATTTCTTCACTCGTCAGTCATCACGAGTTATAAGGCCTCCCGCAACATAACATGTTCTTGATCCCTCATGTTGGGTTTTTCTTATGCTTGCGGTTGCAGGCCCCAACCCCCAAGAGAGGCAAACACTGCGGAATCCGCAACAAGCAACCGAAACAAATAAGCTCCCTCGTTCTCTCATATACATACGTCCATTATTCTACTCAAATGCAGCTCTATGATGGCTGAAGAACGAACCAAATGTAACGACCAAGTGCAAAGATTGCTGCGACGGGTTCTTGGCTTCAATGGAACCAGATGGTTCGAATGTTTTTCTACAATGTATGGTGGTCAAGTTAATTGGTTGTATGAGTATGCACGGACATCGGCTTGCTGGACTTTGTTTGCTCTACATTATCAGCAAGAAACCGCAGTTTTCTTACTCCTTTGGAAGATGTAGTCATTTATTCGCGCGCCTGCGCCACATTTGATGTTCCTCTTCAGGTTGCAAGAAACACAGAAGGAGCTTTAGCTCATCCTCATGTAAATCTAACATATGTCTACACAATGCTTCGGTGCTAGTCGATTCTAAAATGAGAAAGGAAGGGAGGATGAGAAAATTTTCTTTGAAATGAGACATTCGTGCATAGTTCAACAAAAAGACTTCTTGCATACAAGCTCAGGCCGTACACCTTAACATGAGAGTCCGGCATACTGCACTGAGCAAACACAGAGGGGTATATATGTGTGCCTGTAAGCGTGCACGTGTGCTCGTCCGAATAAGTTGCAAGAGAACTACGTTGAACGTATCTGATATATGTCATGTAAGATGTAACAAATAAGGAATGAGCAAAGGACATCATGAGTGTTGCTGGTAGCAAGCACCTAATTTTTCATGAACCACACTCAAAACATGCAAAAACAAAATGTAGCTCGGTCTGTTCAAGCAAAGGAAACTCGTACGCACTGCGAAACCAAGTAAAAACCATTCCAAATATAAAGCCATAAGGAACTTTAGTCTCAATCGTTAAAATGCACCACAAGAACACAAAGAACTACTCAAGCAATTCAAATGCACCACAACACCACCATAACAAGACTTCTAATGACAACATTCGCGCAAATGTATTGTATCTAGTCATTTCAAGTCCATCTACCTAAATTTTGCATTGCATCCTTAGAAATCTAGACTAAGTTCCATGGAACTTAGAGTCTCTCGTCCAAACGTACCAAAATGTATGAATTCAAGCAGAAGATAGGGCTCCAAGAGAAGAGACCAAACTTCAGTCACTAATCGGCTTCTACTCCCACCATATACCAGCAACTCCTTTGCTCTCAAATAATTTTCCCCAACAGGGAAAAAAGAGAACAATTGTTCACATCATCGCTTATTGATCAATTTTGATAGCCGTTTTATCTTCCTCTGATATAAAGGAAAACTAGAACCAAGAGATACCCAAAATGTCAAACTCAACTCAATCAGAGAAAGACATATATATTATATCCATATTCCCAAACATTGATGAAGAAGAAACATGAAAACACCATGTAGAAACCATCACAAATTGTTCTTGCCAAAATAAAATCCAATAAATAACTGTTAAAAAAATTGTAAGCTAATTCTCGCATTAAAATGAGGGAGAATGAGATATCATTTTACCTTTGATTTCTAATTATTTACATCGAACGAGCCCACCAAATACCTACGGTAGTTAATTTGTCACACCTGATTGAGGTATTTCACAAGCGCTAACTGCTTCAACACAACTCAAGCAAAAGCTAGAAAAAATAGACAGCACAAAAGCACTAACTTAAGTGTATAACAATTGAGCCAAAACGTTTGATGGTATGGCACAAGTTAAATACATACATTGATATCAAAAGAATTTTCCAGCGACAGACAGGTGAATATCTGTTCTATTGCATTCCAAACCTTCAGCGCAGTTGCTTTTGAGTCAACATGCTTGCAAATGCACCAGTAGATATCTAGTAAATATCTTCTAAACTGCTGCACAACACAAGAGACAGCAAAGGAAACCTTCATCAGAGGGGAATGCATCAACTATCATAATGCGTTGTATTTAAATAACTTGTTATTTACACAACAAATAGCAATAAAATCACAAAGGAAAGCCTTCCAATGATGATTAGCAAATTCATGATGGATGTCCATACAAGAAAAACACAAAAACGTCTCTTCTTTCAAAGGGCACGGCTGGTTATAGTTGATAAGGTTAAAATAAGGCCACTAACGCATCCATGCATCAATCTTTCGAAACAAATCCTACAAGATAGTGGTTGATCCATGCATACAACTAACTGGATATATAGTCTAAGCCTTTCCCAAATATAATCTGTTGCACCAACTCATCTACTCATTACACCACCCCATATTCATAGTACCCATCTTTTTCTGATTTTTATATAGTTAGGAAAGAAAATAGATTTGACCTCTCTTCCCTCCATCCTATTCGATTTAGTGTTTATTTGAAAACCCTATAAAGAACGTTAATTCTTGTAAAGAAACATATACCATATAGGCCTGGTGCCTTGGAATCCCCTTTTAAGTTTGATCATCCCTTTTTAAGATGATTACTAAAAATTTCAGACACGTCCACTATAATCATATTGAACACCCCAATTTATGGTTTGTTACATTACATATCAAAAGTTAATTATCAACTCAAATTAAAATGATGCTCCATAGCAAAACATTGCCACTGGAATTTAGAGAACTCCAATATATGCAAGCAACTTTCAGAAGAAAAGGGATTGGACTACCTCCCTATTTCCTAAACATGATATGTATGAGTGTGTGACAACTAATTGTAGAGTTGATTAGCAGAAAACTTAACAGAAACATTTGCAGTATTACCCCAAAACTTCAATGGTTTAAATGGATAATTTTATTGAGAAAGAACTTACCCTACAAAATTTCATAAAAATATCTACTAACTGCAACATTATGTACGATGGAAAGTTACTCTTGAAGCCTCAATCGATTGAAGAAGACCAAGAAATGATACTCAGGATCCCAGTAAACAAATCCAACAACAGGTCCACCCTTTATGTACTGCAACAGTTCATAAAAGTATATCATATAGTCACCATGCATTCTGGAGATACTGAATGAGTACTTTTTGAGATTAAAACACAGGAAAAAATATAAAGCAAAATTATAAAACCTTCCCATCAAGAACAACAAGTTCACCATCAACCCATCGGGGATTGCGAAACCCTGGCTCAGCAAGCCTCCCCTGTCCTTTATATCGAGCAACCTGAGTTTCAAAAATAAATAATAAATAATAATAATAATGATGATGATGATGATAAAAGAAACTCTTCTGCAGAAAGCAAAACAAATGTATGCCAAGTGGACGCATGAAAGAGAAAATAACAAGTGATCAGAAATAATTCGATCTAACAAGCTAAACATATACCACTCCAAATTCTTCTGGTATAATCCCTTTATGAGGAAGCTGATATCCTTTCCCAATCTTTGCACGAAATGCCACCTATAGAAACCAAGTGATGAGGTACAAGGACCAAGGTTTAGAAAAACTAGGTAACTAGTCGATGAAAAACAAAACTTAAGCCCAGATTTTGATTCCAAAGTTGAGAGGAGCGCTTTGGAAGAAATAAGGTGGCATCCAGTCAACCAAGTATTAATAACATGTATCAGAAAAAAACAAAGCCAAATGCCGCATGAGGTTTTATTTCAATAGAATATTATGAAGCTACAAACAATAACATTTTAAAATTACCTGGCCAGCTGGTACATAAGGATCCCCAGTCAGTTTTAAGGCTTCTACATATTCATAAAACTCAAGGTTTAGAGGCTCTTGAGTCCCACCATTCTCTTTCCATTGACCAAATTTTCGTCTCAGGTGAATAACTTCTGAGGTGTAGAGCCCATGTGCACCAATGTAAAGCCCTGCTAAAATGAACCTATTTTCAGTACATTCAATATAAGGTGGGCTGAAGAATCTGTCATGGATTAAAGCAAATGCACTTAAGGATTCTAGTGACAAAACAGGATGATCAACCGTAAGAACTTCTGCACAGCATCAAACATTACTTTTTTTTTTTTCTCTTTTTTTTCAGAAGGGGGAGAGATCAGAAACCAGATTTCATTAATTAAAGGTGCAGAAGACTGTAAACCACTGAATTCAGAGCCTACAAACTAACAAGCTTCTACTAATAAAAGTATAATACAAGCAAGATTGGCAATGCCCTTTAAAGAATAGCAGCCCTCCGGTAAGAAAAAATTATGTACAAAAATTTTCCAAGATTATAAGGGATATACCTAGAGTGATAGAAAAAGAGGTTTGGGTGGGAAATTTGATGAAAAGAAATTAAGTGCTACTTGGGAGATGGTTGTGGAGACCTCCATTAAAGAGGGATTCCTGATGGCATGCTGACTTCAGATGCACATATGAGTCGCATGAAAATAGTTGGGATTCCAAGATAGCGATCAAGGGATGAAGTCTCTGTCCATGGATAGACAATTCTCAAGGGATCACCTTCTTTTTCTTCTTGTTGCTTTATGGTGGAACAAGGAGAAACGGTAAAATTATGGGATGGGTGTTGGGTTGGAGAAACAGGTTAGTGCACTTACTTTTCTCCTCTTTATAGCATCAAAAAGTGAAAAAGATAAAATACAATTTTGAAGGAAATCACCATTTAAAGGATCTGGAGAAGCTGGCATTTCAATGCGATTGAAAGTGGTTGATCCTGACAGTGGTTGATGGTTGTTAACCTGGCTGAGAGCAAGATTTATTAACTCGCCAACATCTTTGAGTACCTGATAGTCAAAACATAGAATGCAATAACTTTAGTGTATAGGGAGTGGTGGATTTGGTAAAATACAGGTTGTTCAAATTGTACAGTGAAAATTCAGCCAACCTTCAGTGGTATCTTCTCTTTACCCATGAACTTAGAGAGATCAAACATAACATTGTCAATGCTTCGCTGGCCTCCAAGTTTAGCTTTCTTATCTACAGAAGACCGTTCCTTTCCACGGGCATCCTGTTGGTTAATATCTTTCTCAACAGTAAAGGAAAATGATAAACGTCCCTTCTTCTCCATTTTAGCAGGTACCCGGAGCAAATTTTTAGTAGGCGGGCTGCTTGATAGTTTCTGCCCAAGATTACCAACAACAACTTTAAAGGCAATTTCACGTCGCTCTGCATTTTGAATAATTCCAGGATCAGCATCCAGTTCTATCACTTCTGTCTCTTCATCACCTTCAACTTTTTCTTCTTCTTCAGCATCTAAACTCTCTATTTCACTATCCTTATCTTCATCATCTTCCTCAATAATCTGTTCAATCACTTTTGATATTAGATCCCTGTCTACCTTCCCTGGTGAGGTCACTTTCAAGACCTTGACCTTCACATTAGGAATCATATCTCTCAAGATACTTTGAAAACCAGAGATATCCTCAGAAAGATCAGAGCCATCATCCCCATCATTACCATCTTCAGCATCTTCACTATCTGCAACAAACAGATCACCTTTTTCTTCAGTTGAATCTATAGGATTCAAGCTGCTACTAGCATCCAATGATTTGGAGCTAACTTGTGGAGAATCCTGAAACACCCCTCCCCGCTTTAAATACACAGCCTGAAATTTATGGCATTAGAAATATTAAGTATATTAGCTGCACATCTTTAAGCATAAAAAATGATGCAATAAACAAGTATCAAGTAATTAATAAGTATCACTTCAAAATTGTCCTTTGTTGTTCCAATCCTATTCCACACCAAAGAATAATTTAAACTTCACTAATTTACACCAAATGCCATTGCTTATAAATTAAAAACTAGACTGGACTGCCACAAATAAAGGATTGACCAGGAACTAGCACAACTGTCCACTTCATTTCACCCCCAAAGTATTGTTTCCTTAACCAAGCCCCAAAACCGGTTTGGTTAGTTCAACCAGCATTGGAAACACAAAACTGTTATTCAGAAAAGTAACCTCTTTCATATCTAGAGACTGATAGGCAACTCGAAGCACAAACTGTACCCCTATAGTTCTTTCACCCCTACGCCTTTATAATCCACTTATGTCCTATTCCTTTCCAGACAAATGATCCACCGTCAAAAGGAGTAGGCCTTGTGTTTTCAGTCAATAATGCGCAACATCCTGCTGGAACCACGCAGCTCACCCTGCCTCACCAAATAATTTTGATCATAACCTACAGCTAGTGGACTGTGCAAAGTAAGTTATCAGCACTTTCTCCCTTCTCCATACACAGATTTTTTCTGTTACTTGCAATGTTTTAAAAGGGCCTCAGGGGGCGCCTAGGCGTCCTCTGAGGCTGGGCGTGAGGGTTGCTGCCTCTGTTTAGAGGGAGTGGGCAAAAGGCGTCACTGGAGCTGCCTAGGCGTGCCTCAGGGGCTTTTTTTTTTTTTTTTTTTGTTTAATCCCAAACCCAAATTTTGGGTAGGTTTTAACTGCCTCATACCTCTTCCTTGCACTATCGTCTCTCTGCTTTTTTTTTTTCTGATTTTTATTTTTTTATATAATGGATGTGTGTGTTGTCTGTGTGCATTGTTATATGTGTGCTCATTGTGCTTTTCATCCTCTATTATATATATATATATATATAGTATGTATATATATGTGTGTATATATTTATAATATATGTGTACGCTCAGTGTATATATTAAAAAATTTAGGTCCCGTGAGGCTTTGCCGCACGCCTAGGCCGGGCTATCCCTTGGAAGCCTCGCCCACGCGTCACTGCTTTTAATACATTGGTTACTTGACATAAAAGTCAAAGAATTTCTTTTTCAAAATTTTCATTGGAAAAACATAGAAAGTATTCAACAATCTAAATGTTTGTAGTTGAATATTCAACACTACAATTAAAATATTGATGTGTGCATATTATGATGTCATCCTAATTGAACCTCCAACCTGGCCCTGGTCAAATCTCTATGCTTGCCCCTCGCTCTTCTAATTTGATGAAAATATAGTTCGGCAACATAACCATATTATACTACAAATCTTACCCTTTTTTCATTATGGAATATTACCTACTATTTTTTATCTTTCATTATGTTTCACTGCTTTGTAATTATTGAAGATTAGAGGTTGCTTTTAGGGTTTGCTGCCTAAAGAATTTTTTTTTTTAACGTAAGCTTTTGAAAAAGGTGGTTTTGAGAAGCAATGCTAAAAGAGAGTTCTGTTCTATTTTCCTATGGTTCTAGACATTCTATGAAAACAAGATGACCTCAAATGCCCTAACTTCTGGATTCTGTCTGAAAAATCAAAGAATTTTTGTCAATGTGTTTCCCTATCTAAGTTGGTATAAGAGCCAGCATGGTCATTAATATGATGCGTGCTGTGCTAATTCTTGTTTAGTTTATTTTTTCAAATGGATGTAAAGTCCAATTACGACAAAAAAAGAGTCCCAAGCATTCACTGGAAATGCAAGCCTATTACTGCCCATTTTAAGTTTCGACCACTAGACAGTTGTAATTGATGCATTAGATTATACTAAAAATTTAAACATTACAAAGATACCTGCTGTCTGTATTCACCATTCTTATTTGCTGTTAAATAAATCTCAAAGAGTGGAACACCAGCTGCAGCAGTAGCAAGCTGCCTGAAGAGATGAAAGTTAATAAAATTATACACACTGCAGGAAGCACCGGTAGCGTACAGAATGGAAAACTACATTTGAAAGAAATTAATTGAAACACAGAATAAATTCATTGGAAACTACAAAATGATATATGTCTCAAGTACAATGAAAAATAAGACATGAGAAGCATTCCATAAATATCTATTCTTCAACAGGCAACATATTATAAATCTGATGAGTCCAATCTTTTACTATATATTTTACCCTAATCTTCGCATTAATTTATTGATTATTTTGGTGAGATTTTGATACTTTGAATTATATTTCTAATGCAGGACATTCGATTTCCTCTTGAGCATAAAGTAATCAAACAGACAAATTTTAGAGTGATTCCAATTGGAGGATGTTCATGAGTCTTTCAACATGATTGTATCAAAGTTTCAGATTTTTCTACTGAGCCGTTTGACCGTGGCAAAGAAATAAAGGCCCAGCGCGCAGCTTTTCCAGATTGACGTTTTTGGACGTTTTGGGTAATTTGGAGGTCAAGATGGCACACTTTGAGGAAGATTCCTTTTGAGGATTTGTTGGGGACGACTTAAGCTTTCAAAAGAGACCTTTAGGGAACAAATTGGAGTTGATTTGGTTGGTCAAAAGGTCTGATTTTCTAAGAAGTCGAATTTCGGTTCAAATAGGAAACCTTTTATTTGCTGTTTTATTATTTTATTATGTTTCTTAGTTTTATCTAAGATCATTTCTGGGTAGGGTTTTATTTTATAGTAGAATAAATAAGGCTATTTAGGCATTAGGGTGAAGAGGGGGAAACACACTACTTTGGATTGACAATTCAAGTTTATTTTCTAGGTGTTTTCTATCTATTTTCTTAATAATATTTTGTTTTATGATTGTTCATAACTAGTCTCTTTTCCTAGGGCAAGGCCATGAGCCTTAGCAAGAATATATAGTTTCTTTTCAATTTACTTATGATATTATGCATGTATGTTATGAATTATTAATCACCGTTCTAAACTATCTAAGTGTCTTAGTGATTTACGACCATTAGGATGTTTAGAAAAGTAATTTGATGCAATTTTGGTATGAAGGTTCCCTGAAATTGGCGCTGGCTTCTTGTGGTTAATAATTATAATTTCACTTAGGATGAACAACACGTCTTAAGGGTTGCATGGTTTTTCAAAGGGTTTTCACAAAACTTAATGAGTCTTTCGTGTTCATATTTGTTCCGAACGTCCGGACGGGTTGCATGTTAGATATACGCTCTATGTTGGAGGTTCCAATTAGGATATATATTAGGAAAACCTAACCTTCGAAATATGCATGGGTAATTCATAAGTGATTGGGAGAACTACATATGATTGTTAAGGTGACAGCGGAACCCTGGTGCTTTTACAAATAATGTCTCTTTAAATTGTTTTCTAGTTGATTTATTTAATTGTTTTTATTTTAAATTCGTTTTTAATATTTTAAGTCATAAAATCAACCTTTTCCAAAACTTTGTTTTAATTAATTAATTAAGAATTGGTTTAAATACAAATTATTCATTCAATCCCTGTGGAAAACGACCTTGCTTGAGCCGTTTATACTACAAGTACCTTGTTCTCTTGCAAGTATTTTTAAGTGTTTTCATCCCTATTTGTGCAGTGGTAAAAATCCTATCAATATCAAAACAGTGGATTTTGAAAATTTCTCATAATTCCAGTGCAAAAACTGCTGATAGAAAATTACAGGCTCCGATCCATCAAAAGTAAAAATAGGTTCTGTTCTTAGGCAGGACTTCTTTTGTAGTTTCCAATACTGACACAAGAAGTCACATGGTACCATTTCAATCCAAGGTAGTGATAAGTACGGATATAAACGGAGAATTTTAAAAAAAGTATCTTGCTACTAGTACTATCACATCCAATTCAGTAGCATCCCTTATTTAGTGTTATTTTTTGACAAAAATATATGCAAAGCCACTCGGACAAACTAGCATCTAAAATGGTTATAGATAACAAAAGAAAAGGAAAAGGGGTTATCCCTGTCCCTCATAGATCTTCACAAACAATAACATGCCTCAACTGTTTGTCTTCTCAACCCCCATAATTCTTCCCATTTCTTCAGATTAAAACTTTAGGTCTTACAACTACCAAATAAAGTAACTAAACTATTAATTTTGAACTTTCTCTTACTTTTTATTGATTTAGAAGCTACTGTTACCAAATTATCAATGCTCTGCTGGTCATGGTCACCACAAAAAACAAAAGGTACACCCAAAACTAAACAAACACGCAAAACAACTTACCGGGGACTGTAACTCCTTGCCACATATCTTCCATGCTCTGCAGTTACTCGAATAATTATGCCACGAGGATCCTTCTTATCTTTAGAAAGACCTGCCCACCAACCCACCTACAACACAAAATCGGAAGTCCACATATAATTAAACCAAGCGCAATTTTATCAATGCCAAGTTGAAATTCTACAACCCAAATATACTTATCCAAATGCATTAAACTGAAAAACAGGTACATTTTCACATTACTAATCAGAAACTCATTTCCTTGTTGATTGACTCACCAATCCTGCACCAGCATTATCTCGAAAAAATGCAGCGTCCTGGTATCGCTCTTCCTCTACAGCTCTCTGAAATATGAAAACCAACAAAATCTATTTTCAGAAAATGAAAACCAAAATTAGAGAGCAAACGGAGAAGTAAGTGCAGGAGGTAAAAGCACATACATTGAGATGAGATATGACTCTGCCCACGACATCGTTTGTGGCTGCAGCAGCAATTGCCACCTTGAGCCTTGCAGCATCCTCGAAGTCCTCTGCATATACAGCCCGACCCAACTGTGACTGTTCAAGTTTCAAACACAAAATTCACATAAATAAACAAAATCATCATCGCTTCGACAAATGTGTGTGTATATTTATTGTTGTGATTTGGCTCGTCAAAATACCAAGGACAAACAGGTATAGGTTTCCAGTTGATGTTGGGAAAGGAGAAAACGAACGTGTACAGGCTATTGTCCATAAGAATTGGGAAATAGGTTTGCTTTGTAATCCAAATCAGTTTAGGCTTGTTGGGGGCTACGGAAAGCAGAGAGAATACAAGGGTAGAGAGTCAAGAGTGACAGAGAGATCTAAAGCAAGGTTTCGGGGTTTAGCATAAAGGTTTCCAATAGGTTCTTGTAACCGAGTGGTTATTCTCTATAGTGCAGGTGATTAAGTTCGCTGAACTTCACCTTTGTGTTTGTGTGCGGCGTGTTTACTTTGTTGTTCATATATTTGCATGCAACATCTTATAAGTTTGCATAACACCGGAGACTATCGATAAATAGGGATTAAAATCTTCATATATAGAGAGAGAGAGGAGCAATTGTGGTAAAAGGAGAGACCTTGAGAAGGGAGACAAGGCGCTCTTGTTGTTCGACCTCAAGGAAATGGTGGCGCCAGCGATCCCAGTCCCAATCAGGATCGTCTGTGTGAGAGGGTGCGGATTGGGCGTCGGGTTGGGGTTTAAAATTGACGTAGGAATCGAAGCTTTTGATGGCGTTTTTTATGAGGTCCTGGAGCGCAGAGTCCCACCTCCACTGAGTTGAGTCGGAGGAGGAAGAAGGGTTCTTCTGGCATCGGCAGAGGGAGGAATCGGGAAACCTGGAGGAGAAGTTGGTTTGGGAATGGGAGGAAGGGGAAGAAGGGTAGGAAGGTCTTTGGGCAACGCAGGAGGGGTATGATTTGGGGTTGGGGAAGTTGAGCTTGTGAGGACTTGGGGTCGGAGAAGATATGGAAGCCATTGATAAAGCAGAGAGAGAGAGAAGGAAGGAGGAGAAGGAGTAGGATATATGTTGCGAATTTGCGATGACGCGTGCGCGCGTCTGTGTGTTGTTTATTTTTGTGTACAAAAAAAAGAGGGGCTGGAGGCTGTGGCCAAACTTGGGGATAAGGTCGTCCAGTACTTTATACACCCGTGACATTTCACGTGTTAAAACAAAACGTGGAGAGAGTTTGGGCTTGTTTGATTTTGCTGTGATTTGAAAAAAAAGTTGTTTCTGCTGTACTATGAAAAAAAAGGCTGTGAAATAAAGCAGCAGAGTGTTTGGTAAATTTTTTTTGTAAAAGTGCTTTTGGAAAAAAAAGCAGTATGATAGTGTTTGGTGAACTTTTATATAAAACAGCTGTGACTATGTAAAATAATCAAAAAAGGTATAATACTAGATGTGCCATTAATTTAATTTTCTTAACCAATAAAGTGAATTACTAAATATACTTTATTTGTATAAGAAACATATTTATAAACTTTATCTTAAATATTAATTAGTATGACAAACTACCTCAATTGAAATATTTTAGACTAAATAGCTAGAATTCGTTAGTACAATGTTGTTAATGTACTTAAAAGTAATCTAATTAGATGCATTCATCAAACTTGCCGCTATTCTATTTCTTAATGCTTCTATTTCATGTGATCCTTCAACTTCATAATTTTGGTATTCTTCATCATCATCATCCCTATTATCATTCTCTTCACAATAGTCCCTAGGGTCATCAAAATGACGATCACGTTCAGAATACCTCTGTATGTAGTTATGAAGAGCCATTGTAGCAACAATAATCTTCACTTGCTTATTGAACGGGTAATTAGGCACATCCCTTGAAATTGCCTATCTTTTTTTCCATACGCCAAAAGTTCGTTCAATGATGCTCCTAAGAGAAGAATGCATGTGGTTGAATACCTCTTTATGACCCGTTGGTTCAGCACCCCTACGAAAGTCTAGGAGATGATATCTTTCACCTTTATATGGTCCCAAATAACCTCTCATTTGTGAGTACCCCGCATCTACCAAGTAATATTTTTCTGACAATTGAAAATTTTGTTTTGTATTGTAATAATTATACAAAGCAAGTATGTAAAATGTTATAATAATACAAAGCAAGTATGAAGATTACCATTTGGAGGTTTAGAAAAGTTTAAATTTGGATTCCGTAGCATGGATAGAAAAACCCTTGTATCATGTGCAGCGCCTTCTCATCTGGCACAAGCAAATGTGAATTGCATGTCAAAATTACATGCAGCCATAACATTTTGAGTCGGTATTCCCTTCCTACCAATGTATGGAACTTGATCCGGAGGTGGTATTGAAGCCTCAACATGTACTCCATCTATAGCACCAAAACAATCCTAAAAATAATAACATAGAAGAAAACCGTCAACCTATACTTCTAGTTTGCAAATAAGTTAGAAGACGAGTCAAATTTTACCTCAAAATAAGGCATGTATCTTGTATCTCGCCTTATTTCTTGGGGAATGCCACGAAACTCCGAATCCATCGATTTGATAATATCTATTGCCATCTTACATACGATATCCAATATAGCACCAAAATATCTACTAACAGTCTCACCAGAATGTTAAAATCTCTCTTGCGCTAATCTATTTTTCACACCATGTCCCAACATATGCAAGAACATTCCTAATATTTCAATTGCACTCATTCTCCTTGAACCTTTCAATCCATAATTAGTTTGCAAGTCATTGGATAATCTATAAAATACATCTTTGTTCATCCTAAACATTCTATAGCATCACACATGATTTCCTTGTAGTACTTCCATTAACCAAATATTACCTGTTTGGGAAGAATTCATACACGGAGTTTTGTGGACATATTTTAAATAATATGTTTCAACAGCTTTCGCTACAACGCATATAATTAGACCATCCTCCAAATCCTCAACATCATCATCATCATAGGTGTGTTCATATTGAATATACACCTGTAACATAACACATAATTCAACATTCCACAAGTCATAATCCAACGATCACTAAGAAGTCATAATCCGACATTCAAGAATAATTCAACGTTTAATAAGAAATCATAATCCAACATTCAACATATAATCCAACATTCAATAAATACAAACCACACAGTCCTAATTCATAGTTTTAGCTCTTTATTGTTTTTTGTTGAACATATATTTCAACTAAGTTAGCTGCACTTCGGGAGCTTTCATAGTGGCAAACATCTCTTGCTTCTTTGCACTACAAAATAAACATGTAGCAAACAACTATAACTTGCTAGGTGGCTCACAACCAGGCAATTTTGCAACATACACTATCACTTCTGCAATACTACTGCCTATATGTAGCGGCATCATCAATGAGTTTGCAGAACTCCTACTTTCATAAACTTCAACAAGACAGTCAATTTGACCACAAAGTTTTGCAGAACCTCCAATTTATTTTCCTTTCTTATCAACCTTCTTTTGCAATTCTCATTGGTTAGCCGCTCTTTTTTTTCCCTTCCTAGTAGCTTGCCTTAGATCCTGCATAGTCTCACTTTCTTCCTCATCATCTAAATCAATATGTCCTTTGGATTCCTCTCTTGTCTCTGGTGGTAGTACTCCTGATGAAGGTGCCCAGACATGTTCACCGATAGCAACTGTGTTCGAGAACATCCTATCTAACTTTTCCTCCATCTTAGGACTAATGCCCTTTTTCGCAATTTTCCATGTTCTTTGTTTATCTACACGTAAAGAAAGAATATAGTTAATACATATTGCATAATATCATAATACATATTAAAAGATATATACACAAACCTAAATTTTATTATTCCACCACTCTTCAGAGGCATCAACGGTACCCTTGCTCGAATTCCACCCAAGGCCAGTTTCTTTACCAACTAGCTCTTTCCACAACTTCCACTCATTTTTAAGTGCATCCCACTTATTTTTCAGTTGCTTTCTTTCATAATCATGCTCTGTCTCTGCCTTGAAGTTAGCTCTAATATTTTCATATCCTTCTTTGTCAAAGTGAGCGCCCGGACGATGTCCGGCCTCAACCTCCTTGATGCATACATCACAAAATATAGATATATTGTGGGCATTCCATGTAGCTGTAGGATTTGACGAAGATGCTCCCTTCTTTGCCATTGATACCAACTAGTGATTTGTATATATACATATATATATATATATATATATATTAAAACAAGAACAAATAATATTGTAATACAACCAAGCAAAAAACAGGTAACATAAGCAGAAGCAACTCGCAAGCAGAAAACAGGTAGTAAACCTAACAGACACCACAGTAATAGGAACATATGATTGGGCATACACCACAGTAAACCTAACAGATACTACAATTGCAACTCGCAAGCAGAAGTAAACCTGGTGGGTTATGTGGAAGTGCCATGTGAGTTAATGGAATTCCCTGGGATACATGAGGGTTGGGGTTGCATAATGCATGGTATGCCATCTAAATCTCCACAACAGTTCGCAAGTCTTAGTACAGTTAGAAATTTCATAATGGGTTCATTAGATCCTCCATCAAGGAACAACGACAGAGTAAATGTGAAACTCAAACAAACTTCCCATAACTAATACTCTTGTACTCCCTATTCCAAAAACACAACAATAAACCACCGGTTAGAGAGCAGACAGTGCTCCTCGCTAGCATTTGGTGGGTTTAGTGACTAAATTGGAATCCCCGAATGACAAACTCTGTGTGGTTTGTAGAATATATCGGTAAAAGATGGTATTAAATATTTTATTTGTAAAAATTTGGGAAAAAAAGTACGAGCCTATACAACTGTCCAGCTTAGCTAAAGTGCTTGTATTCCACAAGAAGAAAACCTAATCACTAGTTCTCAAATTTTCTATTTCCTCTCTCTTCTCTCCCCAACTATTTCTAGAAGCCAACTTAAGTGTGTGTGTACATATATATATATATATACACACACACACACACACACACATATATATATGAAACTAGAAAGCTAGAACAGGGTTAAAGAGAGAAGGCCAGTTAGCAGCATGTTTTCTATGGAACTGTAAATCCATGCATATCTATTTTATAGGATAACAAACAAGTCAATTAAAAGATTAAGTTTGGGTTCCCCAAAAATTAAAAAAATTGTGTGTCTTTTGGACCTTTAACTAACATGTAATATGATTGATTAGACTTGCAAAAGAAAATATGATCATTGCACTTTAAATTATTTCAAAAAGCTTTTGTGATCTAACCAAAAATGCAGTAGCCAAATTTCTGCATACCATGAGAAAACACAGGCTAGTATACAAGCTTAGTCAGACACTACAAATTACAAGCTTTGCAGAGGAAGCCACAACAACATTTGATTAATAAAATGATGTATTCCTGACTTAACAAATGCTATGAGAAACCATATCATCACATCCAAATTCCCACATCCTCATATGTAAGAATTTATGTAGCTACGCAATTGAAGTCTCTTCTTCTCATCTATAATTTTCTCTTAACGATTTTATCTCTGCACCATGTACATTTCAAAATGATGTGTGTGTTTGTGATTGTGTGTTTTTGTCATAGTCTAAAGAGGTTGGTTCTATTAACAGTTAACACCCATTTGGAATGTAGGGGTTGTTTGCCCTCTTTGTTATAACATGTGGTTTATAAGGCTCTTCTCCAAGATTTAACTTTGTCTGGTGTTTCCGTGAAGCAAAACTAGTCACATTAATCTAACGCAAAGTTACAACTAACAAGTCACAGAGCTTTATTTGGTCTTGTAAGGAAACTTGAAAAGAGAAAAGAAAAGAAATTATTTAGAAAACATAGTTAAGTTTCAAAATCAAAGATACATGGGCATTCTTTTCTAATTTAGATTATCCTAAGGTAATAGCATATAAGAATAAAACTCCAACAAACAAAGCAACACCACCGTTGCCAATCAAACCCTAAGAACTGAAATTGCTTCATGGATCTCATGATAATAACCTTAATTCAAACCCCAAAACTAAAAATTAGAACATAACCCAAAACTGAAACTTAGAACATAACCCCAAACTGAAAATTAGAACATTAATTCAAACACCAAAACTGAAATTCCCACAACAATGGAAGAGAGAGAGAGAGAGAGAGAGAGAGAGATGGAGAGTGAGAGAGAAAGAGTTATGTTTACCTAATCAATGAGATCGAGCTCGTTCGTTGGTTGCCACACAAAACCCTGTTTCAAAAAACCCCAAAAAATGGGTTCATCATCAGAGAGCAGCCAAACCCTAACCTAAAAATTAAATTAATTAATTATAGCAAAAATTGAAAGCAAGTCGAGTACCTGGTATCTAGAAGGCGACGGCGGTGTGGCGTTGAGACTGATGGAGAGAAAGGAAAAGGATGAGGAGGAAGAGGTGCAGCGGCAGGAAGGAAGAAGGGCGTATGAGTGTTTTGCGAGAGAGAAAGAGAGAGAGTGCATAATGTAGAGGATCGGCAGAAGGAGAAAGGAGAAAGGAGGGGGCAGTTTTGGCAAATTGAAAAAATTCATTAAATGGGGTACTGTAGCTCCGTGTTTTGGAAAAATAAGCAGCTTCTTGAAGCTGCAAAATGCAGCTTCCACTTTTTGGCTTTTTTTCATGTGAAACTTTGAAATAAAGCTGTTTTGGGATGTTTACCAAACACCAAAACCCTTACCAACTTTTTTTCATCCCATCTTTTTTTTTAATCACCTTAATCCCTAAGGTCATCTCTAACCGGAGGGCCATTGACTCTTTTTGGCCTCATAGTTTTTCAAAAAATTAATATTTTAATGAATAATATCAGATTTTTATTTTTACTATCTTCAACCGAGGGGCCAAAGGGTCATAAGCTAAACAAAGCCTTGTGACAAAAAATCATCTCCAACTGAGGAGGTCAAAAAATCATAGGGCTAAACATAATTTATTATTTTAATTGAATTAATATGGTTACTTAAATTAAACTACCTTAATAATTTTTCAAGATGGAATCTCAATAATGATACATTCATGTGCCACAAACAAGTACCTACAACAGGATCTTATTGCACATCTTTGGGCCAAAAGAAGCATGGAGTAGGCGTTTAAGTTATATATTGTTAAAAAAATTTTAATGTTGTTTAAGTTCCATGTTGTTAAATTTTTTTTTTTTGTTGTTTAATGTTACTTAATGTAATTTAAGGTTGTTTAACATTGTTTAATGTTGTTCAATGTTACTTAATGTTATTTAATGTTGTTTAATGGCTTAGGTAGTTATAGGGAAAAAAATAGAAATAAATTTTTTTTTTTTTAAATTTGTTAAAAAAAAAAAATTCAAATATAACGGTTAGCTGAGGTCAACAAGTAGTTGTTGGATTCAAACTGCTGAACCAACCCAAGGTTGGCGGGGCTGGGCCAGCAGGTTGGCCCTTTTCTCCTTTTTTGGCCCAATAGGGCCCACGAGCCCTTTGGCCTAGCCCTCGGTTGGAGACGGTTTTCGTGTCATTTTGGGCTATTTTCAACCCTATGGCCCTCAAGCCGGATCGGTTGGAGATGGCCTAAGGGTATCTCCAACCGTCTCGGTCAAAGGGCCATAGGTCAAAATATAGTTTGTTTTGACATGAAACTGTCTCCAACTGAGGGCTAGGTCAAAGGGCTTGTGGACCCCACCGAGCCATAATTCATCCACCAGGCCAACGGGCTAGCCAAAAAGAGTCAGCCAGCCAGCCGATTTGCATCAACCCAAACCCATGCTAGTTGACGTGACGTCAGGTTACTGTTGGATTTGATTTCTTTTTTTTTTTCTAGATGAAATTTTTAATACCTAAGTCATTTCTACACTATTTCTCACCTCCTTTTCACCATTTCATACTATCTTACCTTATTTTATTTCAATTTTTCACCAATTTTTCACATCCTTTTCATTATATAAATATAAAAAATCCGGAGGCTTATTCATTTAGTGACAAGTGGCACTCAAAATATGTCCGAAAACCTTATTTTAATATAGTAGTTTAATTCAATCAACCTTATTAATTCAATTAAAATAATAAATTATTGAGGGGGCTAAAAAATAGCCCCCTTCGGTTGGAGATGGGTTTTTTTGTCAAACGGGTTATGTTTTATCCTATGACCCTTTGGCCCCCTCAATTGGAGATGATATAAAATATGGCATGACATTATTCATCAAGGCTATAGGGCTAAACATGGCCCTAAGGCCATCTCCAACCGAAAAAGGGCCAAAGGGCCATGTTTAGCCTTATAGCCCTGCAAGAAATTATTTTTTAATGAACAGTGCCAGCCCATATTTTATACCATCTTCAACCGAGGAGGCCAAGGGGTCATAGGCCAAAACATAGCCCGTTTGACAAAAAAAAAACTCATTTCCAACTGAATGGGGCTATATGTTAGCCCCCCTCACTAATTTATTATTTTAATTGAATTAATATGGTTAATTGAATTAAATTATCATATTAAAATAAGGTTTCATACATATTTTGAGTGTTACTAGTCACTAAATGAATAAACTTCCAGATTTCTTATCTTTATATAATCTCAATAATTTTTCGAATAGGATTTCGAGTGACATGTGTCGCTAAAGTGAGTAACTCTCCAGATTTTTTATCTTTATGTAATCTTAATAATTTTTCGAATAGGATTTCAAGTGCCACGTGTCGAGATGTAATTGGTTATGCAAATTTTAGATAGGATTCTTTTCTACGTGGCACTTCATATCTTCAGCTTCCAATGTTAATAAATTGGCTAGATACTAGGGTAGAATTCACACACCTTCATCTTTGCCCTCTCCAATATCTCTTTCAATTCAAGTTTGCAATGAATTCCAACTTTGGATCCTCTTTGTATTCCAACTGGAGGTCCTTATCCAATTCCGAATTGAATGATAAATGGACGGAGATGAGACTAGAAGATGCGGATGTGACCATTTGAAAATTATTAAACAAATTAAAAGAAAGATTATTGGAAGAGGTAAGAGAATAGAATGTGAAGAATTGAAATAAAATGAGGTAAGATAGTATGGAATTGAAAAGGATGTGAGAAATGGTATAGAAATGACTTAGGTATTTATAGGAAAAAAATTCGATTTTTTTTTTTAATTTTGTCTATAATAAAAAATTAAATTCCAATGGTAACCTGACATTAACTAAACGTTGCTAGCTGGCACCGTTGGAATGGGTTTGGGCTGGTGCAAATGGGCTACTTGGCTGGCTCCTTTTGGCTAGTCTGCTGGCCTGGTGGATGATTTATGGCTCGGTGGGGTCCACAAGCCCTTTGGCCTAGCCCTTGTTTGGAGATAGTTTTCGTGTTAAAACAGGCTATATTTTGGCCTATACCCTTTTAGCTGGGTTGGTTGGAGATGGCCTAAAGGTCCAAAAGCCAATGGAGAAGGCTAAAGGTCTAAATGCCAAAAAATGGCCTAAATTGCCCATAAACTCATCTCCAACTGATGGATGGGTTATAATTTTATGGAGTCCACCAGACCATTATTTGGCCAAAGAGGCATCATGCTGACCAAATATAGCCCACCTCTTAGCCCTTTGTTGGGATCTAGCTCATCAGTTGCAATAATTTATTCAAATTCAACGGCTAGATTTGAAAACAATCAAAGGTAGTTTAATTGAATTAACCAATAAATTTAAAGTTTAAACTAAAAACTATAAAATTATTAAAAAGGCTATGTTTAAACCCTTCACTTGGAGATGGTATATGAATATAGCCTGACATTGTTCATTTAAAAATAATTTTTTTGAATGGCTGTAATCCTAGACGGGGCTATAGTTTGCCCTTTCGGTTGGAAATGGCCCTAGAGCACTTTCAGTGTAGGAAAGCCGCATAGGCAATACGCAACTCAATCTCTTTAAATGAACAGTAAATGTCTGCAATGAACAGTAATTGTCCAAGTGCACATTCATCCCTAAATTGAATAGCCCAAACAATTCATACTAAAATATTAGTATTTTTTATTTTATAAAATAATAGAAGATAACTTTATTTTTAATTTGGATAATAGTAAAATATTAGTTGAAAGTATTCAAAAATATTAAAATGTAGTGTAAAGTAGAAGAACATTGTTACGTATTTTAAAAAAAAAAAAATTTATTTTTAATTAGTTTTTTTTATAATTTTAATAATTTCTATAATTTTTTTAATTTAAATTGTAGCTAACGTCATGATGACGTCAGCCTTACGTCACATAGACAAGGGGTTGGCTAGGCGATTATTACCTGACTTTCCATCGGGCTCGCTTTGGGTCTAATTGCCCGAGTGGGCTGGAATGTTTTGGGAAGAAGGGAGATAGTGGATTGGGTTGCCTATCCCAAGGCAATAAACAACGTGGAGTTGCTCTTAATATTACATGGTATTCCCTTCACTTATAAGTGGGAGCTTAGGTTCAATTCTCACCAAAGACGAATTTAAACCACATTATTGCTATAGCTCATTGTGAGGCTTAGCGCACTCCTCTATCTCACAATGTAAATAACATCATTTGTTAAAAAAAATAAAAAAATAAAAGTCTTTTGTTACTTTAACCGTTGGATCGATTTCCATAGCACTATGAAAAAATTCTTGGGTTTACAATAGGATTTGAGAAATCCTTTTATATGCTCGTTCATATACGACAACTTAATGGGATCATAAAAGATGGGGAAATTACATAAAACTACCTTAACTATTGGGTTAGTCACAGTTTCATACCCCATCTTTAAAAAATTTCAATGTCATACCTCATCTACGAATTTGTTACAATCTCATACCTTATGTCAGTTTATCTGTTAATTCTCAGTTAAATAGTGACGTGACTTGAGACGGGGCCCACTCTCTATTAAAAATTAATTAAATGTTAAAAAATTAATTAAATATTAAAAACTAAAAAAATAAAATCTTTTTTTTTTTTTGCGTGGGGGACCCACCCCTTATCCCCCTCACTCTTTCTTCCCCGCCCTTGTCTTCCCCAAACCCAAAACCAACTAGATCCAACCCCAAACCCAGATGCCACATACCCCTTCGACCTCCCCCGCTGCTTCTCCGACTTTGCTAACCACCTTCAGTTGTCACTCACCCACCTCACCAACGCCACGCCATCGCTTGACTCCCTCCATCCCTCCCTCCGTCCACATTGCCATCACTCAACTCCCTCTCTTATTCCGACTACGTCTCCATGGCGATGACTCTGCCTTCACCAAATCAAGTCAACCAACCCTCTCTCTGCTTCAGCACCACTTCTGCCCTCTTCCCCTGCCCCTTTAATCCCTCAAATCCTCTCCCCCCGGCACCAAGATCCCGAATATACTATCCAGCCACCTCCTCATCGGCGAATCTGGCGCCATACCTTACTTGTCCGAAACCCTATTCGACTCATCCCCTTCCCTCCAAGATGACGTGGAGGACGCCACGGCGGTGATCGCGTGGTGGGTACGCTGCTCAATTTGTCCAGGTGCTGCGGAGAGAAGGCGTTGAGGGAAGTGAGGGAGGAAGGGCTAGGAATGGTGGATGGGATTGCTGATATGGTGGAGAATGGCGGATGGGAAGGTCAAAAGGGTGGGTAAGATCTGGTTGGTTTTGGGTTTAGGGAAGACGGGGGCGGGGAAGAAAGGGTAAGGTAGATAAGGGGTGGGTCCCCCATGCAAAAAAAAAAAATTTAATATATGATTTTAGTTTTTTAGTTTTTAAAATTTAATTAATTTTTTTATTTTTTAATAGAGAGTGGGCCATATCTCAAGCCACATCATTATTTAATGGAGAATTGGCAGACAAATTGACAAAAGGTATAAAATTGTAACAAATTCGTAGATGAGGTATGGCACTGAAATTTTTTAAAGATAGGGCATGAAACTGTGACTGACCCAATAGTTGAGGTAAATTTATGTAATTTACCCTAATAGATAATACAAGGGCTCCTTATTCTGTAAATGTTACACGCACGTTGAATTTTGTACAATAGAATTTCTCCTAAAAAACTCACATCCAATTGGCTGAATTGAACTAATTCAACCAATTTGGTTCGGATTTAACACTTAAATTTGTAATCTTACACTAAACTTTAACTAAATTATAAATGAACTTTTAATTTGAACCCATATAACATCTTTCTACAGCCAACTTAAACTTTAAACGTAAATTGTCATTTTATCTTATTGCATAATTACCATCGAGTACAAAACAACGATAAAACTACAATTTATTAATAAACTCACACGCAATAATCAAACCGTACCATCACACAATTTTTATCCTACGTTCAATCTGGTCAAAATCCTAAAATGCTCTCATAGAGAAAAACAAGTTCTTTTTAACTGATGGATGGTGATTTTGAAGTTTTAAATCCTCCAACTAAGGTATGAATCGATTTGTGTAAGTTTTTTTGTTTGATTTATCAATTTATACCAACACAAGGCTATTAATTGTTTTGTTTGTATTTTAGAAAAAGTTTTGTATTTTAATGAAATTGTTCAATCTTGACATAGAATTTCATATAGTTTCTAGTTTTGTTCTTTTAATTCATTGGGTAAATGAATCTTTGCCAACAATAATATATTATACACCTGGTAAGTTTAAAAGTTTAATGAATTTACGTGGTTTTTTATTTTTTGAATAGATACAAAGATAAATATACATATTGAATTAGATTTGTGAGGATAGTTTAGGTAGTAAATTTGGGTTTAAAGAAATATTGCTGGTTTAATTAAAAATAAATGAGTATAAAGAGTAAGCTAGATATAGAAAAACGTTATATGGGTTCAAATAAAAAATTTTAAATTGTAATTAGGCCACCTAAACCCGAATAAGCAGTTTTACCATGTATATTAATTTGGTGTTTAATGATGCTGGTTTTGATCTCTCTTGTTAATGCTCAGCTCTCTGAAGCCAAAACTTGATGGGTTGATATTTTATTAAGGGTACATTGGTCAGTTCATGGGAAATTTCTTTAGATACATGAAACCATTGTCTACGATAGTCCAATCTATCAATAGTCCAACTTTTGAAACAATCATCACCATTCAATTCTTAGAGTCAATCTTCAGCATCCACTTCTCAGATTATTGAAGAAAAAATTAGTTGAAAGTATCTGATAAGAACTGGATTCTTTAAATTGATGAAAAATGTAGCATCTATAGATACCCATACTTTTATTCTTAAACAGATGAGTAATGGATTCTTACAAATGTACTTTATGAGATCACATGTTAAATGTTCAAAATGCAAAACGAATACTCACGGAGACTTATTATGTTGGGGCTCAAAATTCGGCTTCAAGTAACGGGCAAGCAGGTTTGTGTACAAATCATAACGAGCAGTCATTTGGAATCCTCCCCACTTGTCTTTTATCTGCCTACAGAGATTGAGGTCCATGTCCGAGATCAACAAGCCATCTCTATGGCGTGACAGAGATGGAGTGCATGAGGCATCTGGGTTGAAACATGGCTGGATCCACAGAAATGCCCGAGATCTGCATGCTCTGGCTTCCCATCACTGGAAGTGAATGGATTTGGGAAAACCTTAGTCCCTACACGGTTGATTGATCCAACAAAGTAGCTATTTGCAATTGCAGCGTTGCAGGGCTTATAACATAGAACAGTCTAACCGTGTGTTAGTTGATGATTATGCGAAGCAATATGAGCATATCATCATCAAAAGATTGAATAATAAGCAAATTATACAATCATTATATATTTCATAAAGCAGCTGATATTTGAAAATATGATAAAGCATAAATATCAAGAATGAGCAAAATTCATTTTGAAAGCAGAATTTTGGAAACTCTAAGAAAGAAAGCTATTTGGAAATAGTGGATTGAATAAAATGAAGGATGAGTAAACACTCAACAGTAACTTCATTCAGGCCACACTATTTGTAGAGTTAAAAGAGAGAAATTATCACAAAGCAGTGACTTGTGAAAATGAAACATATGGATAGTAGTTAACCTCAATGGGCCACATCGGTTCACTGAGTTCACCCATAGTGGCGGAAGGGTTGAAAACAATCTCTGCACCATTCAAGCCAAATGCGCAATTCAAAGGATGATGCCTTCCATAGCATATATTAGCAGCAATTTTTCCATAAGCCGTCTCGAACACTGGATGCCTAGTATTCCCTTCCATGTAATAAGTACTCTCATTGAAGTCGCCAACTCTTGTTATATGGTTCTATCCGCTATCATTCTTCAGTACGCATTGAACAGAAATGATATAACGCATATAATAACAACAGATAAACTAATTTGCTTACCTTTCGGTGCTTTCCAATTATGTTTCCAGTATTACCAATTATGACAGCAGTGTTCCAGAGAGTCTCTCCATGATTGACATCTCTCTCAAGAATTGGACTTATAATGACCATGTTATACTTCCGGGCAAGATCCTGGAGAAATCACCTTGATTCCCCATCTACAGGTTCTGCAAATTCGCACCACCTCTTCTCCCGGGTGCAAAAGGCAAATGGCATCGTCCATAATTTCCGTGTAAAATTTAAATGGATTCGCTTGAAATTATCAGACACTAGTAGAAAGTAAATCAGAAAGAGTTTCACCTAACATGGCATGAGGCCATGACCAACCTGCAAGCATAACACGTTGACACCTGAAGCACCCGCAACATCAATTATTGGCTTTACTTTCTCAAAGATTGCCCTCCTCTAGTCCAAAAAGTGGGCATTAGTTGGAAGAGTTATAGAGTTTTGAATGAGACCAACTCTAACTATTCGGGGTTCTCTCAACAACTCTTTGTTAATAAGAAAGCAGTAGGCCTGAAAGAATAGATAAAAAATTTAGACTAGTCGAGCATCAATTGATTTTAGGATAAACCATATGAAAGTGCGCAAGTATAAAACCACCATTACATTTACAAAAAAGGAAAAATCTCAACAACCTAAATGGTGACAAAAGAGATGGTTTCCATAACAAGAATCAATATAGCTTAACAAATGGACACCACCACAGGTTTTACTTCTAGGGTCATAAATATGGTGGAAAGTGATAAAACTTCGTAGGCCCAGCATGGTCCACCACCAACATCACAGATATAGTCCTAACTTAACCACATGTTTAGTTTTATCACAAAATGCCTCGGTGATATTAGGGGTGGAAACTCCCATAACTTAACCGGCCTCGGTGATATTAGGGGTGGAAATTCCCATAACTTAACCACATGTTCGGTTTTATATCACAAAAGGCCTCAGTGATATTATGGGTGGAAACTCCCATAACTTAACCACGTGTTCGGTTTTGTCACAAAATGCCTTGGTGATATTAGGGGTGGAAACTAGAAACTCCCATATATTAACTGTATATTGTTTTTTCATGTGACAGATGTGGGATCCTGCTATCCAACATGAAACAGCATGGTATTAGGGGGAATTAATGATAGGAGCATATTTAGGCGACTTAGTTAGCTTGTTTTCTTACATTTATGTTGTTAGTTCATAGTTATTTTAGTATTTTAAGCTATTTTCGTGTGCTTTTAGGTTCATTTGGCTATGGTAGTAAGAAGGTGCATTTTGGAGCCTTTTAGAGCAAAATTGGACTTGAAATGGATAGCATATGCTTGAAGCAAAAGGAATGGACGAAATTGAAGACCTAAAGATGTTAGGATTCCTAATCAAAGAAGGATTCCTAATCCAAGAAGGATTCCTAATCAAAGAAGAATTCCTAGTCAAAGAAGGTTTCCTACTTGAAGTAGGAAAGTTAAGCCAAGGTTTCCTATTTTGGTTTGACCTTTCCTAATCCTAAAAGACCCTAAGTTCCAGCAACATTGAGGGCTCTTATGCATTTGAGGACACAAACTAAACCTTCCTTGCATCACTATGTCCCTTGCCGTGCCTTCCATAAACCTGCCTTTCCTTACCGTGCAAGGGGAATGCCTATTCCCTATTTTTTGTCACAAGATTACATTCCTCTTTCACCTTAGTTAATGCCGCACCTTGCCTTCCTATTTTATCCTAAATCCTTGCTTAATTTCAGCTTTAACTCACATTCCCTTTCCCATTCTTTTCTTGCCGCAAGTCACATTCATATTACCTTTAATTTTTTATTTTACTTACTTATTTTGAGGAGATTTTGACCTTTAAGGCTCTTGGACAAAATAGCTAAGTTTAATTAGCCTTCCATAAGCCTTTGCCGCACCCATATAGAAGATTTTCATTCATATTCACTGATTCATACAATCTGCCATCCTTCATTCTGACCATCATCCTTTGCCGCAGCTTTCCTCCATTCTTCCACTATTCTCATACTTCCATAACTTCACCCAAACACCCATACATCATCCCTCTACCTTGCCGCACTCCCTACCAACCTAAATCCATTCTTAACCCAGAAATCCATCCAAAATCACCCCTAAACTCTTGTGCCGCAACATAGCAAGGAAGAAGAGGAGAATAAGAGGCCTTAGATGTTTGTGCATTCAAGTTAGAGTGTTGGAACGTTTTTAGGTGTAATCTATCTTTTGTTTTCAATGTTTAATTCGAGTTTTCTTTGTTTTGTTGTGAACATGAGAGGCTAAACTCGTTTTAGCTAGGGGAGACTTTGAAACCATAATTATGTTTATGATATGAATTGATTAATTTCAGTTGTGATTTCATAAATTGTGAATGCAATTTACTTAACCGTTTGATGGATAACTTATTCTTGTATGTTGATTAGGGAGGCCTACTAAATTTGCATGCTTGAATTTGGTGCTAGAATATAAGGGAGTTTCACATAATCGTTACAAACTTATATTCACAAGTAGTTAAGGTTGTTTTCACAATCATGTTAAGTAAATTCCTAGCATGAGTATCATGATGTCATAGTTACAAGTGCTTTGTCAATACTTATGATTTTCATAAAACGTAATGATCTTTGATTGTATCTCTATTATGATGTCATGTAGGGTACTTTTGAAGAATGCTTTGGGTTGTTGTATGATGTCATCCAATCCACTAACCAAAGGAGAATCTGAGGGTTAATTAGTGATGTCACGGTTAATCTTGGGTGTTGAGGTTCATGGTTTATCTAGAAAGCAACTAGAAATCAATTTGTGTTTGAATGTATCATGTGTGGAAAAGAATCCTCTAGCTAGTTAATCATCCATAGTTTTTCTCAAATTCGTCCAAATTTTACTTAAATCTTTTAGTTACTTGTTTTTATCTTAAATTCGTCAAAAACCCAATTCCCTTTACTTTGTTGAGTCAAATCTGTCCTATTTTGTGTTTTTAAGTATTTTGAGTCAAAACCAATTCTATTTTCGTCCAAATTGAGTCCTAGAGTCTAGTTTGAGTCTATTTGATTGTTTTGTGTTGTTTTGAGTCTTTTGAGTTTGTTTTGAGTCATATAAGTTTAGTTAAGAGTCTTTGAGTTTGTTTAAGTGTTTTTAAGCATATTTTTGTATCTTTGAGTCAGTTTTCATTAGATTAGCAATCTCTCATAATCCCCGGCCTAGAACGATCCCTACTTATATCTTTACTACAATTGTCAAAAAGAAGGTTTAATTTGAGTGCTATTATTTATCACATCAATTAAAACCTCCTCTTGGTGGAATTTTGGAAATCCCATAGCTGTGGTGTGGGTCACTGACAGGCAGTTCAGAAACCAAATAGTATGGAATGGACAAATACAATTGGAGTGAAGCTTATATTGGAGACATATACATAGGTACGTTGATATGAGGCCGCATAGGGTTATTTTGGTTGATGAATTGGATCTGTTCGATTTTTGAATTGCAATTAAAAAAAATGGTGGAATGCATATCTTCTTAGAAACTACTTAAAACACATACGCATAAGCTACAACATCAAAGTGGTCATAGACATTATACGACTTCACTGTAAGTGGAACATGCCATGTCTTGGAAGAAGAAAAAGAGAAGTAGCTAAGCTAGTTGAACAAAAGGTTCTAATACGAACTGTAAACTTAGAGTAGCTGAATTTGTACTCGGTTGATTGTGAATTGCTCGTATGTGAATGGTAGGTGCATGGCATTGCAAAAAAATGACAGCATAACTTCCTACCTGGAGGTCAAAATCATGTCCAGAAGAGAGAGATTTATCAGATTTTAGGAGAGAAATTGTTTCAAGTGCCTTGCCACGATTCAGTCCATAAAGAATACGGCTGATTTCCCGGAAAAGTTAATTGCATCATAAAAAGAATATGGCATAAAATGTCCAAGTCCAATCAATGCAAAAAAAAAATTAAAAATAAAACCAACAATCAAGGAGGAGCTATTATGATCTGACTTGTACACGAATTTTAAATCAGTCTGGAATCAGCATGGACAAATTCAATTCCCAAACGAAAAATGAAACTGAGATGGCATTTTCGAGGGACCCTTTGAACTAAATTAGGTAAATCTGAAAAACATTTGGCAAATGCCTCTCACAGAAATGAGAAACAGAAGAATTTACACTTCTGTGAGAAACAGAAGAATTTACACATGCATTTTTTTCTCAGCTAGCAACCATGCCAAATAAGTAAATAAATATTTTTTTTTAATTTGGAATTTAATGTAAAGTTATTTCAAGGTTGAAAGATAAACTAAATCTAAATGAATGTGGCTCGAGTTTGAATTTCCGTTCTCGTAGTTTTAGAGCTTGTTTGGAGCTTGTTTGGATGTGCTTTTAAAGTGACTGAAAGCGCTTTTGGTGAAAACATTTTTTGAAACAATCATTAGTAAAAATGCTAATAAATTCTGGAAAAAAAAAACACTTAAAAGGGCTTCCTGCTTTCTCTGGAAGAAGCACATAACTTATGCTTCTTGTTGAAAGCACTTAAATGATTTTAGAACGTAAAAACATTTTCTCTAAAAGCGCAGTCATTTAAAAAGTACATCCAAACGAACCAATCACTTCACTCGCTTGTTAAAAGAAAGAAAGTGTATGAACAAGTGGATTAGTTGAGTTACTTTCCTATTTGGTAACGAACAAAACAATCCAACATAAAAAATACGAAAAACAGACCCTGATGATGATCCTCCTCCAAATTCCAGAGCCAGGCTAGGTCAGCAAGCCCAAAAAGAATCAACGAATGAATGAATGAAATTAACAAGGAAGAAATGGATTAGGAAAAAGGAAGGAAAAGAACCTGGAAGAGATGGGGTTTGAGATGGCGTTCAAGAGGCGGTGAAGTGAGTGATATCCACAAACGGAACCGCCACCGCCAGAACCCTCGCTGCCGCTGAGGGCGTCTGTTTTCTCCATTCTTCTTCTTCCTTCTCCTTTAGACTTTGGAGTTTGAACAGCAGACTGCTTACCAATAATAGTTGGTACGTTTCTTCAGGTGCTGCTGGTGCAGGGGATCAAATTATTGAAATAATTATTATATCAAACTTGAAACGGACAAAAAACTGATTCTATTTCTATGTGTTATAAATATGTAAAAGTTAGAGAGATAACCTTTACTAATGACAGGAGCGAGACAGATGTAAAATATCACACTGTAATGGTAACTCAAGTGAACGACAAATAAAAATGGGAGGAATGGATAAAGTTATTGATCTTTCTTTCTTTCTATTTCTGTCTCTTGTAAGCATACGGAGCGCTCTATTTATAGAGCAGCTCCGATCAAACATATTAATTATACATTTGAAATTTACAACACAACTTTTGAATCTACATCCCCAAAGTCAATTTCGATTTGCACGGGCATTGAAAACTTCTGCCAAAGTACTGTGGGCATTCACTACCCACCAGCATTTTCAACACTCCCCCTTGGATGCCCACATATCAACATCAGTTGCCTCATTAAAACCTTGCTTGGAAAAACCCAATGGGAAAAAACCATAGCGAAGGAAAAAGAGTACAACATTTCCTGGAATGTTAATTTAGTGTTAAATATGCTTATGTTGCCTCATTAAAACCTTGATAGGAAAAACTCAGTGGGAAAAATCCTAATCGAAGGAAAAAGAGTACAACTTGCATGTACCATGGATGATTCCCACAACTTGCATGTACCATGGATGCTCCCCTTGATATATATCTCCCCTTGATTCCGCATTCTCCAAATGTAGTTGTTTGGTAAGTCGACGTAATCCAATACTTTGCAGTAACTTCTGAAACGTGCATTTTGGTAGAGATTTGGTGAACGAATCTGCTAGATTTTCATTAGAACGTGTTGATGCACAAAATCGACGAGGACTTTGGTACAACAAAAAGTGTCAAGTTTGTGACCTTCGCTAGATTGCTCTGGTCATTAGTGTGGATAAGTATGTAGATGAATAGAGACAAGGAAGCAAACAACACAAGATGTACATGGTTCACCCAGATTGGCTACGTCCACAGAGTAGAGGAGTTCTCATTAGTTATGAAGGGTTTACATAAATACATAGGTTCAAGCTCGCCTTTAGTGAGTTCTAGTGAACAGTTTAGTACAAATGACATTAGGGATTATTGTGGGAAAATGACCTCGTTTTATAGAAGAGAGTTTCTAGCTTTGTTCTAACATTGACACATGTCGTGCTGTGATTGGCCTCTGATATCGACACGTGTTGTGCTATGATTGGCCTCTGATATCGACATGTGTCGCATTGTGATTGCCTCCTGGTTGGAGGGAAAGTCTTGTGGGTCCTTGACGGTGTATTGTTGACCGGTGCTCACTAGTTTCGGGATTGGTCAAGTATGGTATAAACAGTGCTCCCCTAAGTTCCCGAGTGAGGGAAGCTCCTCGGTTGAGGATTTGCAAGATCCAAGCCATTAAGTAATCGCGAAACTTCTAAGTACTGAAGCGTGATAACATTTTCACTTTCCTGTGCCCCATACGTAGATGTTGCCTCTTCTCAGGAAATACTTTTCCTCCATCCATGAATGGTATCTTTAGCTGATGTTGATGCACAAGGTAATGTATCATTTTCATTTAAAGTTTACTTGTAGTTTCGGGCTTGGTCAAGTGCAATACAAACCCTATAGTAGGAGTTCCCCAAGTTTCTGAGCGAGGAGATCTGCCGACAAAGGTGACAGACAAGGTAAGCAATCAAAGTTCCAAGCAAAGAAAATGACAGGAAGAAGAGATGATATGAGATACTCTTATTTTTGGAGAAGTAACGGATGAATCGGCACGTGCTTTGTTGTACTTGTTGACTTTCCATAGGTGTATTCTTGAACTGGGCTGGTGGGTTTTGTGGTTTCCTCCAAAGGAGCGAGCCGACTCCAGAATTTGAGGGTCAAAACAAGTCCGTCAAATCTGGAGTATGTTTGATCCTAATGATATGGGATACTTCTGCTTTTTGATAAAGTAGTAGATAAATTAGCACGTGTTCTGTTGCGCTTTTCTCCACATGCTTCTTTGTATCCTTTTCACTTGCCCTATCTGTTCCCCGAGCAGATGTGGTATCTTCTCTAGAAGCATAAGATGTTGAAGATGAATACTCGATAGCAATGCTAGGTAAGTAATCAGGCAAGGGGTTCCAGGTAGTTTGTTCCTGACTGGAAGCTTGATTCCAAGCGCTGGTTGATTGCTCTATTTCTCCTTGTCTTGCAGGTAAGAACAAGTGTAAGGGAAAAGATAGAGAAAAAGCATGATATGGGATACTCTTGCTTTCAATCTTAATGATATGAGATATTCTTGCTTTGATGTGGCTGGTTGGTAGAGGTATTATCGAGGGGGAAGAAAACGGAGTATTTCGAGAGGCTAGATTGAAAGTACCATTTCGAATGTAAGGAAGGGTTGAGCATTTTTTTGCAAGTCTGCCTGGCTGTGGAGGATGGAGGTCGACATATATAGGAATTGTCCCAACAACGAGTAGTAATGTAGTTCCTTTACCCTTCTCGGTTAGAGCAATGTAGTGGTCGCTGCAAGGTTCACGTGTTTTAACTTTGTCAGAGCACTTTGAAAAAGTAGTCTGTGGTATCCAGAAAACTGATGTTGCATGTGAAGATTGTAGATAAATTTTATCCAAGGAAATCTGGCTCTCGAAGTTTAGAGAACGGTGCCTTTTTGATTTTCGAAACAAACAATCTTGCTGGGGATCTAGTTCTCGAGATTCGGATAGCGGTGCCTCTTCGATTTCTAAGCAAGCAATCTTGTTGGGGATCTGGTTCTCGAGATTCAGAGAGCGATGCCTCTTCGATTTCTGAGCAAGCAATCTTGTTGGGAGTGCTTTCTCAGATGTGAAGAAAGGTTGGGCATTTTTGCAAGTCTGCTTTGCCACGGAGCACGGAGGTTGACACACATAAGGATTTTCCAATTATCAAGCAGTGGTGTTGTTCCTTTACCATTGTGGGTAATAGTAGGGTAGCTGGACTTTCAAATTTTACGCGTCTTAACTTTGTCAAAGTTCTTTGGCAAAGTTATCCTTGGTATCCGAGGAATTGATGTCGCGTGTGAGGATTGCTAATAAATCTTACTCAGGGAAATCTGCTTCTCGAAATTCGGAGAGTGGTGCCTCTTCGATTTTTGAACAAACAGCCTTGTTGCCCTTACTTTTATAAGGGCACCAATTGCGTTCAAGAAGTACGTTTAGAGAGTTACTGCTTGTAGGAATTTTTCCCTTATTTTCATACTTTTGAGACTTACCGTACCTCATTTTTTTCTTTATCTTTTCTGAGAATGTTTGGCCCGTCCGACCATCGTTTGGACTTGAATGCTGTGGAAAAGGTAGCCATGTCTTATCAGGATAACATATGGCGCCCATCCTTCTTATTTCCTACTGGTCCCCTTACTATTGGGGACTTTGTGATGAAGAATGATATGACCGCTGCGGTGGTGGCCAAGAATCTTCTCACTCCCAAAGACAACAAACTACTTTCCAAACGGTCCGATGAGTTAGGTGTTAAGGATTCTCTGGCTTTCAGTGTTCAGTGTGTAGGTTCTGTGTCTAATATGGCCCAACGCCTATTTGCTCGAACCCGCCAAGTTGAATCGTTGGTGGCTGAAGTGATAAGTCTCAAATAGGAGATTAGAGGGCTTAAGTACGAGAATAAATAGTTGTACATGCTCGCACATAGCTATACTACAACCATGAAGAGAAAGCTTGACCAGTTACAGGAATCCGAAGGTCAGATTTTAAATGATCATCAGAGGTTTGTGAGTTTGTTCGAAAGGCATTTACTGCCTTCGTCCTCTAGGGCTGTACCACATACTTGGAAGCTCTAAATGATCAACCTCTGGTGCCTCCTTTTTCTAGGGTTTTGCCCAGTACTGAGGCTCCAAATAATCACCCTTCGGTGCCTCCTATTTCTGGGGCTTTACTGGGTGTTAAGACTTCTCCTGAGCAACCTTTGTGAAGGCTCCATTTTGTTTGTTTGTTTTGATTCATATGTATACATGTATTTGTAATTTATCGAAAATATTAATAAATAAGCTTTACTTCATTCAACGTGTTGTGTTAAATACACTAAGGCATCCTTCACTGAGTTCTTTGAATTTTTTATTTTGTTGAAGTTTGCATGTTGAAACTTCGTGGGTGGACCCTATAGGTTGAAGTAGTGCTCCCTTAATTTCCCAAGTGAGGAAAACTTCTAGGTTGGGAACTTGAAAAATCCAAGTCACTACGTAGTCGCGAAACTTTCGAGTACCAAGGTGTAGTGGTATATGGTAGGAGTTCCCCAAGTCTCCGGGCGAGGATAGTTACTGAGGGAGGTGTCTTGGTAGTGGCCATGTTATCAAAGTAACGAAGCTTTGTTTTTGTGTCACACCTTCCTAAAAAAAAAATAAGACCTAAGGTCTCATCCCTTTGCCCGTGATTTCTTCCCCATGTCCCTTACTTTTTCTCATTATTTCACTGTTCACTTTTTTTTTGTATTTTCTGCTACTTTTTCCTGCTTTTAGCTTTTCTTTTGTCTTGCTTTTTCCTTCTTTGTTGGAATTGCTTTTCATTTCCACTAACAACCTGATTGCTGCAGAGTCATGTTGAAGGAAATGTGGATGAGGACCTGCTCTAACGCGATGTTGGAGCTGGGGAAGTCGAGGAGGGAGTCGACGTAGAGGGAGCGGTAGATTTTCAATATAACACCATCCTCGGCTCGAATCGCAAAGTTGTCTTCATGAAAGTTGTTCCTTAACTCGTGAACTACAACATATCCAAATTTGAGATCCATCGGAGCAGTACAACTCCAGAAATTCAGGTATGATAAATGACTGTTCATTTTTTTTTTCTGTCAAACCGTCAGACCCGTTGTGGGCTTCGAAACTCCATTTGCTCTTGTTCAGATCAACATGCTTTCTTCATCGAAGTTGTTTATCATCCTTTCTTCTATAACATATCAAAAATTCAAAACAAGCTAACGGTTAAATATTTCCAAATCTTCGAAACACTACGGCAACTTTGAAGTCTGGAAAAATCCGCCCGTCAGGTTTGGAGCTTCAATACTCTAACTTCCGTCACTTAAACAGAAACAGTTCCTTCTTGAAAGTTGTTCATCTACTCAAGGACTATAAGATGTCCAAAATTGAGCTCCATTGAAGGAGAGCAGAAGTAGCAGCACCTTCATTACTGGTGAATTCTTGTACTTTTATTCACCATTAAATGTGAAACTTTGACTTGTTATTTACTCTATTATAATATGTTTAGAAACATATATAAGTAAATAGGTAAGGTTTATTGGTTGTGGGTTTTTGTTTGGGTATATAGCTTGAATGGTTGAAGCTATTTTAGGACACCAAACTTGATTTAGCTTCACACTATCTTGATCAAGAGTGTGTGAAGCTTTTGACATTTGTAGTTGCTCTCCATTTGGTGAAGCTTTGTGGTTGAAGCTTGATGTTTTGTAGGTGAAACTTTGTGGTTGAAACTTTGTATTTGAAGCTTTGTCGTTGAGAGTTGAAGCTTTGTAGGTGAAGCTTTGTGGTTGAACCTTTGTAGGTGAAGCTTTGTGGCTAAGAGTTGAAGCTTTGTGGTTGAGAGTTAAAGCTTTGTAGGTGAAGCTTTGTGGTTGAACCTTTGTAGGTAAAGCTTTGTGTTGGTCACCATAACTTGGTTTTGCTTCACACTATCTTGATCAAGAATGTGTGAGGCTTTTGACATTTGTAGTTGCCCTTCATTTGTTGAAGCTTTTATTGCCACCATAAATTGGTTTTGCTTCACACTATCTTGATCAAGAGTGTGTGAAGCTTTTGAGATTTGTAGTTGTCTTCCATTGATGAAGTCTCTGCGTTCCCTTTCTTTTCTTTTCTTTTCTTTTTTTTTTTTTTGAAGTGGGGGAACTGAAAATGTGAAGTTTGAAATTCCCTAGCTTGTGTGGAAGTTTGAAGACTTTCCATGTAGGGCTTTCTCATAGTTTGAATTCAAATTTTGACTTTCTTTAGTCCTGTTGAACTTATATAAGAAGAATAAGTCTCCACTCTTTACCTTGCCTTCATTTGCTCATTTTGTTATAATTTTGGAAGGCAGAGTGTTCTCTAGTTGAAAGGGATTCTGGCATTGCTTTGCACCATCTTCAGGTTGGTAGTCTTCTCCACTAGATCGTATGCTTTCATTCTTGTTGAATTGTTTGAGTGTTCATGTATTTGGTTAAGAACATGATGAACTGGTTGAGCTTTTCTTCATGCCCTAGGAACTTCCTTATGTTTCGATCTTTCATGTAGTGATAGAGTTTGTTTCTATTTGTTGTAGATGTCAGAGTCTGGAAGTCCTAGTGATTAGGGCTCCTCTAGCTTTAACTCTAGGTTTGAGCTTGCAATGTTGGAGTCTTCAGGGCCTTTGTTGGAGTCTTGTACCAAAGAAACGTTTGATGATTTTCGCAATTGTCAAACCTTAGCCAATATTGGTTCTTCCTCCTTCATGTCAGTGGGTGAAGGGGTTGTTTTTGACGCCATACCCATATTTCGCTCTGAGTTCACAGCGGACCTTTTAGAGAAAAACTTGTTAGATAGCGAAAGGCAACTTGAGGCCCTAAGGCAGTCATGTAGTATCCCCTGCAGTGTAGGAATGAGTTTGGTACATCATGAAGAATTACCCTTTAAATCGCCCAAGGTTCATGTTATGTTCTATACCCAAATATTATTGACCTTAGGGGTGAAGTTGCCTTTGCACCCTTGGTTGCAGCAAATGCTATCTTTCATTGGATATGCGCCTAGGCAACTCAATCCTAGTTTTTGGGATACCTTGATCGGGTTTTATATTATTTGGATGGAATGTGGGTTAGGTGAGCCTTCCTTCCATCAATAGCGTTACTGCTATAAGATGCGGTTGGTGAAAGCATGCCCTGGGTATGTTGAGTGTGCATGTCGAAGTGAGAGAGAGTGTGTATTATTTTTGGTAAGAAAAAGACGTACTGCACTTGGAAAAATCGTGGGTGCTTTCTTTATAATGATTGGGAGCATGTTAAGGGTGCCACGCCTAAGCGACGTGTTCTTACTCACTTCCAGACTGTAGGTTGTAATGTATCCATTGTTTATATTGTTTGTTATTTGTTGTGATTTCTTCTTGCGTCTAACATTTTCCTTCATACAGTGATGCAAGGCAACACCATATTGTCCGGACAGGAGCTGACTAATGTAGAGAAGGTGTTAAGAGTGCCTAAGAAAGATAGACATTTGGGCAAGCTACGGCCTTTGTTTTGAAAGTAAGGTTACCAGCCCCTAGTGTCGGAGTGCCAGAGACGAGCAAGTAAGTTGTATCCTTCATTTTGCCCCCTCTTTCTTTTACAAAGTTGCATTCTTTACTTTGATTTTTCTTGTTCAGTGGAGAAAGTGAGTAAGAAAGGGGGAACTAGCACCAAGAAAGGGAAAGCACCCATGTTAGTTCCCGTAGATGACATTTTGTTTCACAAGGGAGCTCGTAAACACCGGGTGAGGCCAGCCCCTAGACTTAAGTCGCAAGAGGAGGTCCTCAAGATTACTGCCTCAAAGAGAGCTAAAGCTGAGGCTATCAGGTGTGCTGCTGCCATAGTTGCAAGGGAGGAGAGATGACTGTTGCCTCTTCTTCCTACCATCGGTCTCATCTTTCCTCCAACCATAGAGTCTACTAACCAAGAAGGTGGCCCTAGCTTCAGCCGTAAAAGGAAGTATAAGGAAGAGGTTGGCAGCATCCTTTGGAAAGATTTAAAGGTTGCCATGCAGCCAAGTAGTTTTAGGTATGTCAATAATTGCCTAGCAGGACATCGATCCACTGTTGACGAGCTTGGCAAGCCGCTAGATGAAAATGAATCAGATCATGACCAGATGATGAGGCTATCTTCTTATGTAAGTGTTATTTTGTCATTTCTTTGTTTTCTTCCCTCTTTTTCTTGGTAATGACGATCATCTTGTCATGTAGGTTATGACTGAGTATGACGACAGATTACGAGAGGTCAAGCGGTACAAGGCAAAGTTTAAAGAGAATTACCAGCTTGTGAATGACGCCAGAAAAACGAGCAAAGCTTTGGCTGAGGCCATCTGCCTCAAAGATCAACACTTTGAGAGTTTGAAAAGGAGAAATGGTGAGAACGTGAGGCTCAAGAAACAATTAGAGGGGACTGGGAAACAGTTGGAGACAACTATCCTCGAAGTTTCAAAGGTTAAAAGGGAGTTAGAAAGTGCCTTGGTTGAAGTTTCTGAGCTAAAGAGGAGTATCCCAACTGAGAGGGACGCTGCCGTGCAAGAGTTCTTAGGTTCCCAGGCCTTTCACGATGCTTTTAAACCTCATTGCATCCGGGCAGCTAATTTTGAGAAAAGGAAATGGATGGCTATCCTTGAGCGTTACGATAATGGAAGCATTATTCGAAAGTACCGTGATGAGATGGATAAGTAATGACAAAGAGGTGAAGCCTTCATCCTCGCAATTGATCCTAGTAGTGAAGATGACTCTAATAATGAGGCTAGTGTCGGTGAGCAGTCTCAGGAGAGTGGGGATGGTTTTGGAGATACCGAGGATGGTGGCAATGGCAATGCGGTTGAAACGCAGAGTGATATTGTCAGGGGTTCGGCCTCAGATGAGGATGACTCATAGTGCCCTCTTTTTCTGCATGTACTTTGAATGTCCTAGTTTGTTGTTTGTATGGCATGTGCCATGTACTCTGGATGTACTAGTTTGTTGTTTGTATGGCATATGCCATGTTATAAGGCTGAGGGTTTTTTGTTTGTGCATGTTTGCAACCTTGTACTGTGTGCTTTGATGTTAATTGCTAAGTATTTGTACTATCATTGATAAATGTTTGGCTATGTTTGAATAAATCCCTTGTTTGGATATAAGTCATATTGATATATACTTAAACTTTATTTCATGTTGTAAGCATTCGTGTTGAAGCTTCAAACTTGAGCGTCTTAGTGATAAGGATGTAAAGGAGTTAGGACCAAGTTGTCTAAATTCACCTCTTTATTGAAATGATGCCAAATGACCTTCATTACATAGGATGTCAAATGGCCGTAGCTCAACACTTGTACAGTGTGAGTTTACTTGTAATAGTACTTCAAGTGATCAGCGTTCCATGGATGGCCAAGGGTTTTGCCATCGGAGTTCCTGAGCTTATAAGAACCAAGGCGACTGATGCCAATAACTTCGAACGGTCCATCCCAATTTGGGATACGCATGCCTTCACTCGGGACTCTGTCGCATATTAGTCTTTTCTTCAATACCCAGTCCCCACTTTGAAAGAACGAGGTTTGACTTTTAAGTCATAGTAGTTGGAGATACGCTGCTTGTAGGCGACATTCCTCAAGTGAGCCAGGTTTTTGTGTTCCTCGACTAGATCCAAGTTGAGGGTGAGTTATTTGTCATTTTCACTTTGCATGTAGTTCTGGACTCGGAACATTGCTTGCTCAAGCTCAACTGGGACAACGGCTTCTGTACCAAAGACAAGTGAGAATAGAGTTTCTCCTGTTGAAGTCTGATATGAAGTGCGGTATAACCAAAGAACTTGGGGTACAAATTCTGGCCAACAGCCTTTAGCCTTGTCCAAGCTGGTTTTCAAAGTGCGCTTGATTATTTTGTTGATGGCCTCAACTTGTCCGTTAGACTAGGGATGAGCTGGGGTGGCAAAACATAAGTTGATGTTAAACTTAGAACAGAACATCCTGAATTTCTTGTTGTCGAACTGTTGCCCATTGTCCGTGATTATCGCATTAGGAATGCCAAATCTGCAAAGGATGTTCTTCTATACAAAGTCTTTTATTTTTGCCTCAGTAATGGTTGCCAAAGGTTCTACTTCGGCCCACTTTGTAAAATAGTCAACTGCAACGATTGCATAGTGGACTTGCCCTTCCTGACAGGCATTGGGCCGATCAAATCAAGTCCCTATTGGGCGAAAGGCCAAGGGCTGATCATAGGAGTAAGAGGCTCGGGAGGGGAGTGATGAATAGTTGCGTATGTTTGACACTTATCATATGAGCGAGATATTCTGATGGCATTGTGGTGGAGTGTTGGCCAGTAATATCCTTGACGAAAAGCCTTGTGTGCTAGGGATCGAGATCCAGCATAATCTCCGCAGACTCCTTCATGTATTTTTCGAAGGATAATTTCCGCTTCCGCAGATGTGAGGCATCGTAAGTATGGTAGGTTAAAACCTTGCTTGTAGAGTTGGTCATTAATGATTAGGTAGCGGGTAGACTTGTATCGAATCTGCGTAGCTTGGACTTTATCATTTGGGAGGGTGCCATGAGCAAGGAATTTATAAATCGGGGTGATCCAGCTATCACCTTGTTGCAAGTTGCACACTTCTACGACTATGGTGCTTGGTGCTGCCAACAATTCGACATGAATTTTTCTCCCAATCCTGTCTTCCACTGCTGAGGCGAGGCGAGCCAAAGCGTCTGCATAACTGTTTGCTGCTCGAGGGACTAGAGTGATCTGGTAGTGGAAGTGCTTGAGCAAAAGCTGCGTTTGCGCAAGATACGCTGCCATGGAGTTATCCTTGGCGTCAAAGTTGTTCGTGACCTGGTTAACCACCATTTGAGAGTCACTGAAGATATTAATTTGTTTAATTCCAAGGTGTTTGGCCAAACGTAAGCCTGCTAAAAAGGCCTCATACTTGGCCTCATTGTTTGACACCTTGAATTTGAAGCGAAAAGCATACTCCATTGCCACTTTGTCGGGGGTAGTCAGGACTAGTCCTGCTCCACAACCCTGTTGGTTGGATGAGCCATCAATATATAGAGTCCATACTGGGAGTGTTGGTTCTACCTTCCAGGCTTCTGAGGGTGATGAAGCCACTGCCTTAGGTGTAGGAGAAATGTCAACAGGATAAGTGAATTCGACGATGAAATCTACAACTGCTTGGCCCTTCTCAGCTGGCTTTGGGTGGTAGGAGATGTCAAACTCTTCCAGTGTTATTGCCCATTTGATCATTCGCCCTGAAGTGTCAAGACTCTGAAGTATTTGTCGAAAGGGATGACTAGTAAGCACGATGATGGAGTATGCTTGGAAGTAGGGGCGAAGTTTCCAAGCAAACATGACTAATGCTAAAGCTAATTTCTCAGTGTTGAAGTATCGTGTCTCTGCATCTTGTAGAGCCTTACTAGCGTAGTAGACAGGTCGTTCAATACTATCATCCTTACAATGAGGACAGAACTAACTGCTGAAGCCTAGACAGACAGATAGACAATTAGGGTGTCGCCAACTTCAGGTTTGGAAAGCATATAGGCTTTACTCATGTACTCCTTGAGGTTCTTAAATGTTTCGGTATATTCATCAGTCCACGTAATGTACCTCTTGCTTCCCATAAGTGCTTTGAAAAAAGGACTGCATTTATCTGTGGCCTTAGAAATGAACCTGGTCAAGGCTGCTACCTTGCCAATAAGGCTCTGGATATCTTTTGAGGTTGCTGGTTCTTTCATGTCCATGATTGCTTTGATCTTCTCGGGGTTAGCTTCAATGCCTCGTTGGCTAATCATGAAGCCCAAGAATTTTCCAGAGCCCGCGCCGAAAACACATTTGTTGAGGTTCAACCTCATTCGATACTTCTTCAAGATAGAGAAGGTTTCAGACAAGCTAGCGATGTGTTAGTCAGCATGTTTGCTTTTGACTAACATATCATCAACATAAACTTCCATATTTTTCCCAATCTGTTCAGCGAACATTGAATTGATTAATCTTTGATAAGTCGCCCCTGCACTCTTTAGCCGAATAGCATGACTTTATAGCAATATAGTCCTTTGTCAGTAGTGAAGGCCGTGTGTTCTTGGTCCAAAGGGTTCATGAGGATTTGGTTGTACCCTGAGTAAGCATCCACAAAGCTCAAAAGTTCACACCCTGCTATAGAGTCTATAAGTCTATCAATGAGAAGAAGGGGAAAACTATCTTTCAGGCATCCTTTGTTTAAGTCGGTGTAGTCGACAAACATTCTCCACAAGATCTTTTGAAGAAAAAGACTTTCCGTGGTCGGATTTTTCTTAATAAGGACCACATTTGCTACCCACATTGGATAATTGACTTCATGGATGAAGCCTATGCTTTTGAGTTTTTCAACTTCTGTCTTCATTGCCTCGTATCGTTCAGCATCATAAAATCTTCACTTCTGTCTCATCGGCTTGGTCTTGGGATTAATACTCAAGCGATGACAGATAATATCGGGAGAGATGCCTGGCATGTCTTTGTATGACCAGGCGAAGACTTTAGTGTTCTCTTGCAAAAAAGAGATCAATGCCAACCGAATGGGTGGTGACAAAGTGGTGACAATCTTCACTATGCGGTCCGAATAATCTTTTGAGATAGAGACATTTTCCAACTCTTCAGCAAGTTGTGCTTGCTGGGTGAAAGAGTCATCTCAAGGATCGTCGGGTTGACTGTTACCACCGTGAAGATCCAAGTTGGCTTTGTCCGAGCTGGTCTTTATAACTTGGTCATGTATAAAAAGTGTTTCTTTAGGTACATGCAAGTGTTGTTGCTTGACTGAAGTGTTGTAACATGATCGTGCACTAAGTTGATCTCCTCTGATGTAACCGTTGCCATGGGAGGTTGGAAATTTCATCAACAACATAAGTGTGGATACCATGGCCTTGAGATCTTTGATGCCTGTGCGCCCAAAAATGACATTGTATGCAGTTGGGCAATCAACCACCAGGAAGTTAGTGGTGATAATGGTTGTGTAAGGGCCTGTACCAATGATGAAGGGTAAGTGTATGCTCCCTAAAGGTTTCACAATATCACCGGAGAAGCTTATCAGAGGAGAAACCGAGTGATCGAGTAAGTATTCAGCTACATTAAGTGTTCTGAAAGCTTTTGCAAACATGATATTGACCGACGACCCCGTGTCTACCAGGATTTGTCGTACGTCAAAGTTGGCTATGTGAACCTCCACGATCAGTGGATCATTGTGAGGATAGATGATACCTCTTTCTTCCTCAGGGTAGAAACATATTGGATCCCAGTTAGGCTTTTGATACTTGCCTCCCCTTATCTCTTCCACGTGAAACACTTGATGGCCAAGCCTCAAAGTTCGTTCATTGTTTTTCATGGCCCTGTTGAAAGATTCAGATATGGGTGTGCCACCGCTTATGGAATATATCACATTCACTTGGCGTTGGTTGCGGTTATCCCTTGGAGGGTGAAGAATGAATTGATCAATTACTTCACGTGCCAAAGCTTCAATATGATCACGGAGAGTGATACATTTCTCGCCATCATGGCCATTATACTCGTGGTAACCACAAAACACGCATGTGTTCTTTGTGGACTTGTAATCTGGCTCATTCGGCCTTGGCTTCAGTATCAAGTGAGCTATACTGGGGTAAATGGTCGTGCATGTGGCGTTCAAAGGTGTGACATACACATACCTCGGGGTATGACCCTTCTTGACATGTGTTTGGCCCACTGCGTTGACTACCTAGGGGCGGGCATTATCGTGGCGATATCCTTGGTTATCGCGATAATGCCCCTTACTCTTTTTATTAAAATGAGATTGGTGATGATGGGAGTCTTTCCTCTTGCCATAAGAATGATACACTTATTGACTTGGCGAGGTATTAGGTAGAGTAGAGGGAAGCGTCACTGCCGTTTAGAAGGTTAAGGTCTTCTCATTCGGTTGGATCTGGCTTTCACTCCCCATTTGCTAATAAGGGATGGCTGTGGGGAGTTTCCCTTGATATGTCCTTGCCTCAATGAAGGCATGGTTGTAAGCCTGTGTCATCACCTCAGAGTAAGTCTTCCAAGTGTTAGCATTAATCATGTACTCGAAGAAATAGACACGTACACCTGCCGTGAAGGCTTTAAGGGCGGTCTTGGCATTTACCTCAGTGCAACGAGAATACTCATGGCTGAAACGACCGGTATACTTTCATAGTGACTCATCCGGCTTCTGGCGAATAGTGTACAAGTCATCTGCAGAATGCAAGTGATCTGTCTAGAAGATGTGTTGAAAGACAAACAATTTCCTCAGTTCCTCAAATGAGTCTACCATCTCAAGTGGAAGATGGTAATACCAATTCAGAGCTCCGCCAGAGAGGGTAGAGGGGAAGAGAAGACATCGCTCTTCATTAGTGTGCATCCGGTATGCCATGATGGACTCAAAAAGGTTAAGGTGTTCAATCAGATCCTCCCTTCTAGTGTAGAGTTGTAAGCCAAGCTTCTGCTTTGTCTTTGCTTGGAGGAGGGTGTCGAGGATCCTCCTTGTAAGAGGGCCAAGCCTAGGTTGGTTCCAGTCAGGTATTTCGGCCTGACGTTCGGCCTTCAACTTGTTTACTTCCTCAAGGAGTTGTAGGAAAAGAGGGTCCTGAGTATAGTCAGGTACTGCTAGATCCTTCTTTCGTAAGTTTCCATCTCCTCTTAGAAATAGGAAAGCTTGATCAAGAGCATGAGATTTTTCTTTGGACTCACCGTACTGACTTCCAGGGCAAGCTTGTCGAAATACCCCCGAGTCCCCCGTACATTCATATTCCTCTAGGACTTGTCGCTCCTTCCCTAAATTGGTAGCTGGCTTGGGACATGAGAGGGGATCGAATCTTTCAGAAACCCTTGGGTCATTGACCTTCGAGCTTATGTGGATGGGGTTCTCTCGACGTTGCCTCAAGAAGTCCCGACGGTCGCAATAAACAGCTTTCAATCCTTCCGCTGCTTCTGCAAAAAGGTGTCTTCCTCCACTTCTCCTACTTCGGGTCGAAGCAGTTAGGTCGAGAGAGGTCTCATGTTGATCAACACCTTGATGAGTAACTCACTTCCCATTAGGCATATCCATGTTGAAGGCAGGTGATCCCCCGTGTTGGGGGGAATCTAGGTGGTGGTTGACTTCCACGGGGGCGATGAGTTCATGTGTTTGAGTATGCCTAGCTTCATGGAACATCCCGAAGAGCTTCTCATATTGCTCGTAGAGGATCTCATTCTTTATCGCTATCTTGTTGTTCTGAGCCTCTAGCTCATCGACTTTAGCCTGAAAAACAAACTTTTTTCGTTCCTTATTTCGTTACTTCGCACTAAGTGCGAGGGGGGTGTCGTTCTGCGTGTTGTGGCTCCCTTTGCTCTCCATGTTGGAGAGGGGTGCCTGGTCAAAAAAAAGTGTAAGAATGGTGAAAAACAGCTTGACAAACCTGGAAAGAGTAGGAATAAGTGTGATTCCCACAGACGGCGCCAAATGTTGATGCACAAAATCGACGAGGACTTTGGTATAACAGAAAGTGTCAAGTTTGTGACCTTCGCTAGATTGCTCTGGTCATTAGTGTGGATAAGTATGTAGATAAATAGAAACAAGGAAGCAAACAACACAAGATGTACTTGGTTCACCCAGATTGGCTACGTCCATGGAGTAGAGAAGTTCTCATTTGTTGTGAAGGGTTTACACAAATATATAGGTTCAAGCTCTCTTTTAATGAGTTCTAGTGAATAGTTTAGTACAAATGACATTAGGGATTATTGTGGTAGAATGATCCTCTTTTATAGAAGAGAGTTTCTAGCTTTGTTCTAACATTGACACGTGTCGTGTTGTGATTGGCCTCTGATATCGACACGTGTTGTGCTGTGATTGGCCTCTGATATCGACATGTGTCGCATTGTGATTGGCCTCCTGATTTGAGGGAAAATCTTGTGGGCCCTTGACGGTTTACTGTTAATCGGTGCTCAGTAGTTTCAGGATAGGTCAAGTATGGTACAAACAGAATGGATTTGTCTGACTTCAATAACTTTAACCTTCTAAAGCTCATGTGCACTGAAAAACTTGGGAGATATGTGTTTAGTCTTATCGCCCTTGATGAATCCTTCCTTCATTTGGGCAACACAAGCTACATTATCTTCATGAATGACAGTTGGATTGTCTGTCTTCGAAGTTAGACCACATGAATTCCAGATGTGATGGATCATTGATCTTAACCAAGAATGTTCATGACTTGCTTCATGTAAAGCAAGTATTTCTGAATGATTTGAAGATGTAGCAACTAATATTTGCTTGGCTGAGCGCCATGAGATTGTTGTATCTCCATTCATAAACACATATCCAGTTTGTGAACAGACTTTATGCGGATCAGAGAAAAAACCAGCATCTACATATCCAACAAGGACCTGGTCATTTGTGGAGTTCTTTGAGTAAAAGAGACCCATGTCTGTTGTCCCACGAAGGTATCGCAATACATCTTTGACACCTTTCCAATGACGTATTGTTGGAGCAGAACTATACCTTGCTAACAAGTTGACTTAAAAAACTATATCTGGTCTAGTACATTGTGCTAAATATAACAAAGCACCTATTGCACTCAGATATCGTACTTCTGGACCAAAGACCAGCCCATCATCTTCTTTTGGATGGAATAGATATTTCTTAATGTCCAAAAAACGAACGACTATTGGTGTGCTGAGTGGATAAGTCTTGTTCATACCAAATCACTTCAGGATTTTTTCAATATAAGCTGATTGGTGGACCAAAATTCCACTAGCACAATGCTCGATCTGCAGGCCGAGATAATATTTTGTTTTCCCAAGGTCATTCATTTCAAATTCACTTTTCAGATATTCAGCAGTTTTATTGAGCTCTTCAAGAGTTCTAACTAGGCTTATATCATTAACATATACTGCCACTATAGCAAAACCAGAGTTGGATTTCTTAATAAACACACAAGGGCAAATGACATTGTTGATATACCCTTCTTTGATCAAATACTCACTGAGACGATTATACCACATTCGTCCAAATTGTTTCAGCCCATACAATGATCGCCTTAATTTGATCGAGAGTATACCTCGTGGTTTGTTACTTGTTTTAGGCAACTTAAGTCTTTCTGGGACTTTCATATATATGTCAGTATCTAATTCTCCATATAAATACGCAGTGATGACATCCATAAGTTGCATGCCAAGTCTTTCTAAAACCACTAAACTTATTAAGTAACGGAACGTAATTGCATTCATTACAAAAGAGTATGTATCCGCATAATCAATTCCAGGTCTTTGAGAAAAGCCTTGTGCAATGAGTCGTGCTTTATATCTTGCAATCTCGTTTTTCTCATTGCGTTTCCTTGGGAATACCCATTTGTAACCCACAGGGTTTACACCAAACAGGGTTTGGACTACTGGTCCAAAAACATTCCGCATTTCCAAGGAATTTAATTCTGCCTGGATTGCATCTTTCCACTTAGGCCAATCCTGTCTCTGTTTGCATTCATCAACAGAGCGAGGCTCAATATCATCACTTAATATGATTTCAATAGCTACTGCGAATGCGAACATATCATCGATGGTTATTTCATTCTGATCCCACATTTCATTTGTACATGCATAATTTATGGAGATTTCTTTACTTTCATGTACCTCTGTTTCTTCAGGTACATATGTCTCATCAAGGACATTTTCTTTTTCTGAAAGTACAGAATCATGAATTGTGGATGTGTCATTCATTTTTTCTTCTTGAATGATCTCATTTGGATTCAATTGTGCCCTCGTCTTTCTCTTTCGAGGGGCTGAATCTTTTGAATCTGGAGGTCTACCACCCTTCAGGCATACACCAGATGAATCATTCCCTGCCACTTTATTTTGTCCAACAGGGACATCAATTCTTGCAGGTGCATTTGCAGCTGGTATATGTGATTTTGTCACTTTTATAGCATCATTAAATGCATCTGGCATTTGTGATTAGCAATACTTTGAAGATGAATGATCCTTTTCACTTCATTTTCACATTGAATGCTTCGAGGATCAAAATGAGACAAGGTGGGAACAATCCATGTCAGCTCTTTCCGTTCTTCTGGAGCAGTCTTTTCTCTCCCTAACGACGGGAAGACTGACTCATCAAAGTTACAATCGGCAAAACAAGCTGTAAACATATCACCTGTCAAGGGTTCTAAATATCTAATGATAGATGGTGAATCAAAACTCACATAAATTCCCAGTCTACGCTGAGATCTCATTTTAGTGCATTGTGACGGTGCAATAGGTACATAAACAGCACAACAAAAAAACTCGTAAATGTGAAATGTTTTGCTGATGTTCAAACACGAGTTGTGCTGAGGAGTATTGGTAGTTGGCTATAGGTCTCAATCGAACCAATGATGCAACATGTAAGATGGCATGTCCCCATGCAGAGACTGGCAATTTGGATTTCATAAGCAGAATGCAAGCTATTAACTGAAGCCGCTTGATCAATGCTTTTGCTAAACCATTTTGAGTATGGACATGAGGAACGGGGTGTTCAACATCGATGCCCAATGTCATGCAGTAATCATCAAAGGTTTGAGACATAAATTCACCAGTGTTATCAAGTTAGTTTGACTTAATGGGGTAATCTGGGAACTGTGCTCGTAACTTAATTATCTAAGCAAGAAGTCTCGCAAAAGCTACATTCCGAGTAGATAAGAGATAAACATGTGACCATCAGGTAGATGCATCAACCAAAACTATAAAATATCGGAATGGTCCACATGATGGTTGAATAGGTCCACAAATATCTCTTTGAATTCTTTGCAGAAATGATGGGGATTCAGCATCAACCTTTAGTTGTGATGGTCTAATTACCAACTTCCCTTGAGAATAAGCCTTGCAAGGGTTATCATTTGAGATAGCAATGTGTCTGCTCACTAATGGATGTCCATTAGAGTTGGTAATGATCCTACGCATCATGGTAGATCCTGGATGACCCAGACGGTCATGCCAAAGCATGTAAACTTTTGAATCAATGAACTTCTGGTTCATGACAGTATGTGATTCAACTGTCTTTATGTATGTATAATACAATTCACTCGACAAACCATGCAACTTCTCCAATATACGGTTTTGGGTATCATTAAAGGTAATACACAGATACTCTATATTTTTTGCACTTTTCGTTTCAATGTGGTATCCATTTAAACGTATGTCTTTGAAACTCAACAAATTTCGAGCAAATCGAGTAACGTACAACGCATTCTGTATGGACAATATTGTTCCATTTGGTAACATAATCTGAGCTTTCCCTAAGCCTTCAATTACATCTGAAGGTCCTGATATTGTTATTACCCTTACTTTTGTAAGCATCAATCTTAAGAAATACTTTCGATCTCGAACTATTGTATGCGTTGTTGCCCAGTTTGCAAGACAAATATCTTCGTCATTTCTCATGTTTTGAGAATGACCATAGTTTTTATCCATGCTCTCTGAGTAAGAGAATTAGAGTTAAAAGCAAGTTATAACAAGAAATTTACATGCCACTTTTATTGAATCTGAAATGCTTTTAAACTACAAGTTCAGCATAATAAAAGTACATCAAACATCAATGATTCAATCGGACCGGTATACTTCATTTCCCTCTCCACAGTAAAGTCTGAAACATCTAGGTGGGTTGTGTTCAGTTGTCCTGATAAGTTGCACACTGGATCAGGTATATCCATTGGTCTAGCCTGGTCGAGGAAATTAGTCTCGACACCTTTCTCCTTGAATGAGGCTTGATACAGATCCTACCAGATGTTTTGGGGTACGACAAGTACACGCCCAATGCCTATTGCCACCACACCTATGGCAGGCTTTATTAGAGTTCCTAGGAGCATTGTTCATATGAGCTTTGCCTTTGTGGCGATTCACATTTTTGAAGGTCAGGCCTAAATTATACCTCGGAACCTAGTTGTGAAATTGAACTCCATGGTTCTTGCCTTTCCTATTCCACCGACCTCGTTTGTGGCCACATCCTCGTTTATGATTATCACAACCAGAGGATGTGGCGTTCACTTCGAGGGAGCAGCATTCACTTTTGGGAATGGTGCAGATCCAGTAAGTCGAGAATTATGGTTTTTCATCAGGAGCTCATTGTTTTGTTCGACTACCAAGAGCACAGATATCAGCTGGTTATATTCAGTGTAGCCTCGTGCTCTATACTGCTGCTGGAGGAGCACATTAGAGGCATGAAATATGCTGAAAATTTTTTCTAACATGTCTTCCTCAATAATGGTATCCCCACAAAGCTTCACCTGAGAGGTAATTCTGAACAACGTAGAATTATACTCAGCCACTGACTTGAAATCCTGGATCCTTAGGTGAGTCCACTCATAGCGAGCTCTTGGAAGAATCACCCTTTTCTGGTGATTGTATCTGTTTCTCAAAGCCTTCCAGAGAGCTAACGAATCTTCAATCGTTAAGTACTCGCTCTTTAGCCTCATCAAGATGGCGACGAATAAAGATCATAGCCTTCACCCGATCTTGAGAGGATGAGTTGTTCTCTTCCCTGATGGTATCTCTAAGATTCCCTGCTTCTAGATGGATCTTGGTATCCAGTACCCAAGTAAGGTAATTCTTCCAAGTAATGTCCAGGACAGCATAATCAAACTTCGCCAAGTTCGCCATTTTCTTTGCTGAAAGAAAATGAGATGTGTAAGAACTTGCAATAATATGTATTCCTGGAGGAATATAATGTTATAACTTCTAACTCTTACAAAATTTTCATTTTGATCTTCAGACCAAAATGATAAGCACTTGAAACTTCTGGCTCGAGATTTTCAAGGTGAATGAGGAGGGCGATTGTACCGCACCATTCTCATTGAAATAATGTAACATAGAATGGGCGATTATTCCGCACCACTCAAGTAGCAGGAAAATTTAAATACGCAGAGCAGGATGGGCGATTATACCGCACCACCTAAAATTGCAATGAAATTAAACAGCAGGCAAATTTAAATATGCAGGGTAGGGTGGGCGATTATACCGCTCCACCTAAAATTTGCAGTACAATTAGATCTGCAGTCCAAGATAGACGATGATACCGCACCATTTTGGATCGTAGTAAGAATAAATTTGCAGTTCAAGATGGGCGATTGTACCGCACCATCTTGAATTGCACTAAAATTAACATAAATAAATATTGGATAAGTAATCAATCTCTACACCAAATAAGAGATCAAAGATAAATGCAACTGTTAGGTTGAAAAGCAGGCATGGAGCAAACAGTTCGTCGCGAGGGTATACCGCGCAGTTAAGGCAGAGGAAGAAGATGAACAGTAAAAACCTTAGAGGAAACATTTTTTCTTTCTTTCGTTCGGCGAAGAGAAATGAGAGAATGATTATATTTTAGAGACTCGTGCTAATAACGTGTTATAAATATGTAAAAGTCAGAAATATAACCTTTACTAATGACAGGAGCGAGACAGATGTAAAATATTACACTATAATGATAACTCAAGTGAACGACAAATAAAAATGGGAGGAATGGATAATGTTATTGATCTTTTTTTCTTTATGTTTTCTGTCTCTTGAAAGCATATGGAGCGCTCTATTTATAGAGCAGCTCCGATCAAACATATTAATTATACATTTGAAATTTACAACACAACTTTTGAATCTGCATCCCCAAAGTCAATTTCGATTTGTATGGGCATTGAAAACTTCTGCCAAAGTATTGTGGCCATTCACTACCTACCAACATTTTCAACACTATGAATATTGTAACCTTTTACACGTAGATGCATTATTGGATTTTTTATTTATTTTTTTTCCTTATTTTCTATGAATAGAGTTGAGTAAACCAAATTAAAATAATAGGCATGATTTTAGAGGAAAAGAGAAGTGTGTGTCTATTATTTTCCTCTTCTATAACAAGGATGTTAAACTCAATTGATAATGTTTTTCATTTGTTTATCTTAACAAATAATTTTTTTTTTTTTAAATACATGAGGTATCCCACCACACATTGATGATATTAATCACCATCTCATGCAGCCTTAATACGGTGGGTGTAAAGTTTTATCCAAGCAAATTAAGAAGAAAATATACAAAAGAAATGACATTGTAAGACCAAGTGACTAATATCGGTGTGGTGTTAGACCAAGACTCCGAAAAGCTTGCCCTGCATGCCTGTGATCCTCAAGGGACAGATGTGTTGGGGTCATCAGACCATCTCTAAAGGAAATGTTAAATTATAAGAATCAAATTACAATTGATGGCTGATGTGACAACCTGAAGTTTTATGTCAAATTGTATACTTCCCAAACAAAATTGTCAAATGTTATTTTTATTTATTTAAATAGAGCTTTAAATTATTTTAATTATAATAAATGATGAAACAAAATTTGTATTGGTTGAAATGTTAATGAAATAAGGGATCCACCATTAAAATAAATTAAAAATAAATTGACATTAATATCAAATTTGACTTTTAATCACAAAGCCTTCAAGCCTAGTTAGTAAATAACACTTCTATTAAATAAACTTTTGCTATCAAATATGTACGGTGACATTTCACATGAGATTTTGACATCTCATTTGAAGATACTCTCAACCACTTATCTTGAGAGAGGGATGACAATTGCCTGTGACCCAAGTAGTCTATTAGAGAGCTTGGCAAGTGATTTCCGACTGGGGCTTAGGACATGATACTTATGGGCTTTCACGATTCTTTAACATGCTGGTTTAGTTGGCCCATTTAAGAAATGTGGTATGCTCACACCGTCAAGGGTATTTGTGCCATATTGAGCGATGATATGGTCTAGTCTAATTGGTCGTTGTTTATTTATGTCTTGACAAATGCCCTCACATTTCCTTTTGTTTGAGTAGGAGATGCTATACGGAGATAAAATAACTTCCTTTATATTGCATAACATCAAGTCACTTAATTTAGCTCCGCCTCTCTCGAATTAAGTAACCCTAGACGGAAACTTCGTCGAGAATCATTTACAAAGTCACTTGTTCATGATTTAATACAGAAGCCCAACTTTCCCTTCAGCATGAAAAAACCTTCCACCGTTAACGTACTTCACTACAACTTATAAGCAGAGGTGCCTTGCATAAGCAAACAGAACACAAGGAAAGGTGTAGTTGTATAAGAACAAATGAATCGATTAAATTATCACATTTATCTTTACAATGCCAACATTTCACTCTTCTCATCAGTTTAGCATGTAATGGATAATGTAAAGAGAGAGCATGTCAGATTTCCGGTCCAAAACAATAAAATCCGGCTAAAGTACCGGAATAAAGTCCCGAAAACAAGCAAGGAGAAGATGAAGCATGACTCGAAGGTGGTACATTGGTATAGAAACCCTGAAAACGTTCATCTGGTGCAATGACAAATGTTGATTTCATGAGAGAGCACCACATAACAGATGAACTACTCAATTAATCATTGCGGCAAATCCAAGTATATTAGAGAAAAGCAGGGTAGAAGTTTCACATTTTGAAACGGTGCAAGTATCCAAGTACAGGTAATGGCTCAGAAACACTAAAAGAATAAAACCGTGGATTCCTAACGATAAATCTTCTCTACGACATTGAATATTACAGAGAATAAAAAGAACCTCAGTAAACTTCTATAAAGCATAATCTGCGATTGTGAAGATCGGAAACTTGAATGCCTTTTCAAGTTAAGAGTCTTATTCTACTTCACACACCCATTGCACAATGTACATTTGGCATATACAATCGAAATGAACATTAAAAACAGGGTAACAGTAGTTAACATGAACTTATGAATGAATGGACAACATCTGCACTAACAACTAGAACACTCACATCATCAAACTTAAGTGTAAACGCATAGCGAAGTTCATGCAACCAAGTGACCAACATCGAAAATTTACCCATAACAATAGTATTACTTGTTAGTGAATGTACATTTATAATGTAACCAGTATAAAAACTTTAAAAACTGCATAATTGTTCCATAGATAAGCAGACAACATATTAAATTGTCCTCTGTACAAAGGCTTTCGATACATCTTACCTGCAATAATCATTGCATGCTATTTGTGTTTGGGAGCTCGTCGAATGATCTTAGCTTCTCAAGGATCAGCCTTTCTTGCTTGGCGTCTATTTGACGTGTCAAGAGATGAACATTATCTTTGGGTAAATGCATAATAGAACTCTTAAATGTGCAAATAACTAATAGAGAATTTGATTTTTCATTCTTCTGAATGCACTTATAGAGCACATAAATCCAACAATATGATGACCTTAGGAAAAATTTACTGTATAATGCATACATAAGAATCTTAGGAAAAAATTAGTCGCACAAACTCTAATCACGTCCATGTTGACTGCCAACTTTCCAGCTATTTTTAATTACTCTATACACCAAACCAGTAACAAATTCTATAATACAGCTTTCATACATTTGACTTTCATTGTACAGTTCAAAACCATTAAGAATCTATAAAATTGACTTCAAATGTTACTTTTACGAAATAGATCTCTGTTCAGATGAATCACCTGGAGGAAACGAACACTGACTAATGCCCAAACACACTAGTAGACAGATAATTAATGGTGAAGATAGTGAAAGTGATCTCCACAAAAAACAGAACTACATATATAATTTTTTGAGTCATACGCACCAGTCTACTCAGTTCGCTTTTTCAGGGCATACCAAGTAGACGTATTCATCAATTTACCCCCTGAACTTGTGACCATTGGCCAATTTCCCCCCTCAACTTTAATTTTGGCCAATTCCTCGCCCACACCCCCCCCCCCCCCGGGCCAAAAAACTCTCATAATTAGTCAATTTGCACCCTACTGTTAATTTGTTTAATTTTTCATCTATTCTTCCATTAAGTAGGAATCTGCATGACTGCCTTTGAAGGGCAAAAAAAGTCAATTTGCACCCTATTGTCATTTTTTCAATTTGCACCCTATTGTCATTTTCTGTTAAGTAGGTTTCCCTACACCTTACTAGAGGTAGACAAGGCCAATGGAGGAGGCGACGGGGTGTGGGCAACTGCAAACTGCAAAAGCAGCATATCAAATGGACTGGGCTGCAAACAGCGGAGGAGGGAGGCGTTGGCGGCAGTCACGGGCTCGTCTTGAAAAAAAGGAAGAAGAAGAGAAAGTTCGAAGAAAAGGAAGAAGAAAGAAGGTGTAGGGAAAATGACTTTTTTTCCCTTTGAAGGCAGTCATGCGGATACCTTAAGAATAGATGGAAAATTAAAAAAATTAACAGTAGGGTGCAAATTGACTAATTATGAGAGTTAAGGGGGGAAATTGGCCAAAATTCAAGTTGAGGGGGGAAATTGGCCAATCCTTACAAGTTCAGGGGGTAAATTGATGAATTATCTGCTTCACAACAGTTTAGCATGCATGTATAAGTAAATATGCAAGGGCATAACTTAAGAAAAGATAAATACATGCAGAAATGACTGGCAAGGATACATTCTAGATCGGGGTTTTCAGCGAAATTTGAATGCAGAGCATTTCCAACACTGTCTACTATGGCCGAGGTAGTCATGGATGATTCAATGCATAAAATGGCTGTTATGGCATCTAACCGTGTAACCTCATTTCTGAACATCAGTCTTGCGTGTGCTGCAATATAGGCCAAGTCAATATCTTGGGGAATGAAGCAGGAGATTCACTTAAGAGAA